TTGTGCCATAGAGGGTACAACACACTAGCCTATATTGCCCTGTACCCTCCTATTCTAGTCATTCTTCAATTCTGATATGGTAGCACGAGTAGGTAGGTCCCACCGCCCACCCACGCTTCCGCCCTAGGTCCTAGCCGCCCGTTCCCCCCTAGCCGCGCCGCCCCTAGTCGGCCCCCGCGCCCGTTCTTAGCCAGCCCTCGCGCCCGTTTCTAGCTGGCCTCGCGCCCGTTCCTAGCCGGCTCTCGCGCCCGCCCTAGTTGGCCCCGCGCCCATTCCTAGTCGCCCCCCCCCCCGCCCCCCCCCCTCGCACCCATTCCTAGCCGGCCCTCGCGCCCGTTCCAGCCGGCTCTCGCGCCCGCTCCTCGCCGGCCCTCGCGCCCGTCCTAGCCGGCCCTCGCGCCCGTTCTAGCCGGCCCTCGCACCCATTCCAGCCGGCCCCTCGCGCCCATTCCTGACCGGCCCTGCGCCCTTTCCTGGTCGGCCCCGCGGCTGTCCCTAGTCGGCCCCGCGCCCGCTCCTACCCGGCCTCGCGCTCGTCCCTAGCTGGCCCCGCGCCCGCCCCTCGTCGGCCCCGCGCCCGATCCTGACCAGCCCCGCGCCTGTTCCTTGGCGGCCGGCCCACCTCCGGCCCCAGCGCCCATTTTGTAGCCGCACGCCATACAGCACCGCACTGCACCGCCCCTCACCACTCGCACCGCACAGCACCACACTGCACCGCACTACACCGTCACGATTGCGCAGGAGTTCCTAGATGCTATTGTCAAGCGCTATTCCACCCCGCCCACTACTTCTGTAGGTCGCCTGATCCTACCGATGCTCTTTCCTGACCTTGCGTCTTTCCCCACTGTCGCTGACCTGGCCGCTCACCTGCGCACGATAGACGCGACCTGGCGCTCTACCTGCACTAAGACCCAGCTTAGAGCCTTTCAGCAGCCCATCTGCTCTTCCCACTACCTGCTTGCCACCCGCCTCCCTGACTGTCTTGCTACTGCCCGCGATCGCTTTCTTACCATCCACCCCGGTGACCTCACCCTCATCGACTTTGTCGACACCATGTCTGCCATAGAGACCCGCCAGCGCTTTATCGCCTAGACCAGCGGTACTGTGCCGGTCCCTATCTTTCAGGGTTGTGCCCTCGCTCACTGCACCTTCTCAGACGGTTCCGTTGCTGTGGTTGAGACCGCAGCTGCAGCGCAGTTCCGTCCGGGGAAGGGTCGTTGCCCCAAGGCTGGGCGCGGCGGTGGGGGTGGCGGTGCAGGTGGAGGTGGTGGTGGAGTCGGGTCGCCTGGTGGTAGCGCGGACGAGGGGACCGTGACTGGTGCAGCCGAGCAGCCGTCTCAGCAGCCGCAGGCGTCGCAGCCGGACCAGCACCAGTCGCAGCCGCAACCCCAGCACCAGCCGCAGCAGCCGCAGCAGTCACAGCAGCCGCAGCAGCAAAGGCGGGCGAGTGGTCTCCCGCCCGGGTGGCCTGGCGCTGGTGGTGGCGGTGGACGTGGTGGTCGTGCACGTGGTGTGCCTCCGGGTGGCATTTGGGTGACGGGCGCTGTCAGTACCAGCTCCAGACAGGTCCTCGCCACGGCTCCGTTTGCGGTAAGATCGGTCACACTCCCGTCCGCTGTTTTCGTCGCATGGCCGACCTGTTTCGTCTTCGCTTCGGCCCGTCGCCCGACCTCCCCGACGGGTACAGCTTGCTTCGCCGTAGTGTTCCGATTTTTGATATGGACATGGATGAGCTTAGCTCTGCCTTGTATGTGCTGTATGCTGATGACTCTAGTGTGACTGGTTCTTACTACCCCTTGTTGCCTAGTGTAGGTGTGTCTAGTCTTGCCTCCCTTGCTGAGTCACGCGTAGGATCCCCTTACTTGTTTAGCCTTGGTTCCTCCCTCGTTACTTTGACTTCGGCCGCCACTACTACGCTCTCCTTCACCCTGGACTCTAGCGCTTCCCGGTGTTTCTTCCGTGACTCCACTACGCTGACGCCGCTTGCTGCTCCTGCCGCGGTTTCCCTTGCTGATCCCTCCTCCGGTCCGGTAATCGCCCGTAGTTCCACCACCCTTCCCTGTCCGGCGGCTCCTTCGGGCTCTCTTACAAGCATGCACATCCCCTCGTTCACCAGGAACCTAGTTGGTGTCGGCTGCCTCCAGGACCTTGGCGTTACCACTACGTTCCCTGGTCACGAGCGGTACGCTGTCTGTACCGAGGCCGCCACTGGTGCTCCTCTCACCACGTTCCCCTGGGACCCGGTGTCCGGCCTGTACACACTGGACACTGCGCCCCCCCCCCGGTTGGGACGTCTCCTCCGGTAGCTGCATCTCCTCAGGTTGCTGCGGCCTGCTCGTGTCGGTCGCTTACTCACTCGATACTCCTATGGCACCACCGTCTAAGTCACCCTGCACTCTCGCGTCTGCGTCACATGTCTTAGCACGGTCTTGTCCTAGGTCTTCCAGGGTCATTCCCCGAGTTGCCCTCCTCCCCAACGCCACCGTCAAAGCCCTGTGTCTAGGGCCGGCTCCGCCGTGCCCCTCACTCCTCCTCGTTCCCACCCACCGCCGCACCGCTATAGACCCTGCACATGGACGTCTGGGGCCCCGCCCCCGTCCATGGGCCGCGTCGAGAGCGCTACTTTCTAGTGCTTGTTGATGACTACACGCCCTACACCACGGTGTTTCCCCTGGAGCGAAAGGCCGACGTGCCTGATGTTCTTATCCCGTGGCTTGTCTCTACGCATGTCCACCACGGTCTTCCTGTCTTACGTCTCCACTCCGATCGTGGTGGCAAGTTTGCCTCTGGTGTCATTGGTCGCTTCTATCGTGTGGAGGGCATCACCCAGACATTCACCTTGCCGGACTCCCCGCAGCAGAATGGGGTCGCTAAGCGACGCATCGGTTTGGTCATGGAGGTGGCTGGTACCTCCATGATCCATGCCGGTGCACCCCATTTTCTGTGGCCGTTCGCCGTTCGCTACGCCGCTCACCAGCTTAACCTGTGGCCGCACCCCCAGCAGCCGCACGTTTCGCCGACCCTTCTTTGGTCCGAGTCTCCTGGTGTCGCGGCTGCGTTCCACGTCTGGGGCTGCCTTGCTCACGTTCGTGCCTCTGGCACGGACAAGCTCACTGCCCGCACCCTCCCCTGTGTCTTCCTAGGTTTCCACCTTGACTCGTCTGACTGGCACTTCTACCACCCGCCGTCTCACCGTTTCTTTCACTCCTGCGACGTCACATTTGACGAGTCCATCTCCTTCTACCACTGCTTCCCCCATCGTGGTCCCCCGGTTACTCCCCCCCTGTTCCTGGTTCCCCCTTCCCCGGTCGCCCCTGCCCCTCCCCCTCCCCCTCCCCCTCCCCGTCCTGCCCCGTCTAGTGTGTCTCACGTCACCCCCCTCACGTCGGTTGTCCCGGTCGAGGAGTCTGCTGACTCTGGTGACCCTGCGGCGCAATCCTCACCGCCTGCCCCTCCCCATGTGTCTCCTCCTTCGCCGCCGTCGCAGCCGTCGTCACCGCCGCCGCAGCCGCCGCAGCCATCGTTGCAGCCGTCGCAGCCGTCATTGCAGCCACCGCTGCCGCATCCGTCGCCGCTGCCGTCACAGCAGCAGTTTGTTGACTCTGGGGGTGCTGGCGTTGGGGTGGGTACTAGTCCTGGGGTTCTAGTCGTGGCTTGTCCCGGCAAGCCTGGGGGTGGTACCGGTGCTGGAGGGATTTCGAGCTCTGGGGGTGTTCCTTCTGGGGGTGCTCGAGTGGAGTGTTCAGGAGGTAGCCGTGGAGCAGCTTGTGGTCCCGGTGTCGATGTAGTGCCGCCGCAGCAGCAGTCACCGCCGGTGTCATCCCTTCGCCTGCTCGGCCTTCCGTCCCCTGACCACGCGTCTGTGCCACTCCTGCCGTCTCCTCCTCCTCCTGTCTACGGCACTGTGTTCCCTCCCCCGGACTCGACTCCGGCTCGCCTTCCCCCTCGTTCCCCTCTTGTGTCCCCTCCTCTGTCTCCTGACCTGACTCCTCCGTCTCACGTCTGGTCTTGCTGTCCCTCCCATGCTCGCCCCGTCTCCCCTGTCCCGCGCTCTCACCCTATGTTGCTTCGTTCCCACGCGTCTCGTCCTCCCCTCCTACCGTCCTCCCTTGTTGTTGCGCCCCCCCCTCTGTCTGACTACCTTCATGCCGCTCGTCCTCTTGTTCTTCGGGTCCTTGCCTCTCTCGTTACCAACCCGTCTGTTCCGATCTCGTGTCTTGACACTCTTGTCGCTGCGGTCGCTAACTTCGCCTCTACCCGCCGCCTTGACTACGCCACCGCTCTGGTCTCTGACCCTGCCTGTCCTCCGTCTGTCGGGGGTGCTCCTGCCCTCGGCAGTGACGTCTTGGAGGACCGCCAGTACGAGCTTGCTTTCCTGTCCGAGGCTGCTCCCCATCTCTGTTCCATGCTGCTAGTCCCTGAGGGTGACCCAGACGCTTTCGACATCCCGACCCCTCGCACTTACGCTGAGGCCACCTCAGGACCTTGGGCCTCTCAGTAGATAGCTGCCATGGAGCAGGAGATGGCATCTTGGAGATACACCGGCACCTACGTCGACGCAGTTCCCCCACCTGGGGTGAACGTAATCGATGGCCGCTGGCTCTTCAAGGTGAAGCGCCCTCCTGGAGAGCCGCCTGTGTTCAAGGCGCGCTACATGGCTAGAGGCTTTAATCAGCGTTAGGGGGTGGACTAATTTTAGACCTTCGCCCCGACCCCGAAGATGACTACTCTTCGGGCACTGCTACACGTAGCAGCACAGCATGACTACAAGTTACACTCCCTCGACTTCTCCACGGTGTTTCTTCAGGGCAGTCTACACGAGCAGGTCTACCTGCGCCGACCTCAGGGCTTCACCGGTACTGTGAGAGTACGACCCCGTTACACCACTTGGCCTTTTCTTATTTCCTTCCCTTTTCATTTCTCGTTTTACCGCATCTCATTTGGTTTCCTATTTTCCATTTTCCATTATCCTTTGGTCTCTTCCTTTATTATAATTATATCACCGACCAGGCATGGAATGTACTAGAGACGTTATCCAGCGTAATCCTGCCGTAATCCCTTCAAGCCAATAGCCTCACGTGGCTATACGCAGGGTGATTCTATCTTCTAGAAGGGTCTATTCCCTTAGGATAAGATAAACCTGGTTACCTGATGTACTCTGGAAGTATAAAAGCGCCTTGTACTGATCGATAGTGCAACCTTTCCTCGACACATTCGATCCTGTGACACTTGGTATCAGAGCTTTTCTCACTCGGCCGCGCTCAGCTAAGCAGCAGCAGCGGGGATCCTGCCTCGAAAAACCGCCGGGGGCGACCAATTCGACGCCGATTCTGGTAAGCACCAGCTCCGCGATTTTCGAATTACCCCCTCCGTGCGTGTTTTGAACAGGATGGCAACCTTCGACAACGCCGAGGTTACCCAGCAGCTCTTCGCGCGCATCGCAGCCCTTCAGGAGGAAATGCGAGCGGATCGCGAAGCGTGGCGAAACCAGTTCGAGCGAGTAACTCGACTCGCCGGAGCGCAGCACGAGACGACAACGGCGACGACGCATCAGTCGCAGCAGTTTCTCGAGGCTCCGAAACCGCGCCCACCTGAGCCGTTCGATCCGAGCGATCGAAACTCCGACGCCCGCAGATGGATCGCCGGGATGGAGATCTACTTCGCAGCCGTCGGATGGAGCTCGCCAGTCTGGGACGGTCAACGTGTACGACTCGCGGCGACACTGATGCGAGGGCCGGCACTCGAGTGGATTGGCGGCAACAGTACTTTCATCCACGGTGAAGCCACGTGGCAGCAGTTCCGCGCCGACCTGCTGAAACGCTTCGAGCCGATAAATTCAGGTTTCCTTGCCCGCGAAAAAATTCATCGCCATCGACAGTTCGGGAGTGTAGCACAGTACACGCAGCAGATGGAAGAATTTTATAACCGCATTCCCGACCTGACCGAAGGGGAAAAAGTACAATCGTACCTCGCCGGGCTGAAGACCGAAGTCAAACGACAAGTCGCAGCGTCAAACTACGCGAGCTACAGTGACGTCGTTTCGGCAGCGGAGCGCTTCGACATGGTCAACGCCGGAACACGACGGACGCACGTCGGCAGTACGCGACAGGGCGACCGCTCGGCTCACCCCACGTTCGCCGACCCGATGGAAGTCGACAGATTCGAGGGGCGGCCACGTCCGAAAAGCACCAACTACACGTGTGATTTTTGCGGGGTGCCGGGCCACCGAATCTTCGACTGCAACAAAATGAAGGCCGCACGCGCAGAGTATCGGGCACGCAACAGTGGCGGAAATCTTTCGGCCAATCAGAAGACAAAAAACGGGAGTCGCCAGTGATTGCGGATCTAGCTGGCGAAAATAAAAAGATCCGAAAGCGGCCGCGGACTTCCGGAAAAATCAACTTCGACGAAGCTGATTCGACGCGAGAAGGAGGAAATGATGGGGGAAAATCTCCACCCCACGACCAGTCTTCGCCAGGGAAAATCGCCGAGGAAAAATACGACTCCGCGAAAAAAGACTCTGCCGAGACAGGGAAACTCCTTGAAGACCCAAGAAATTATAAGAATTCGTTAAAGTTATCTTATAAAGATGCTTTAATGAAAACTTATGATGTTCGAGGGGCTAGAGCCTTGGAGAAAATTCGGGAGGGACTCCAAAAGAAGCAGACAGCTGTGGAGATTATACCGGTACCGGGCAACTTGGGGACCAAATTAAGGAGTGTGGAAAGAAGCCGACCTTTCCACGGAGTCAACGTCCTCTCCCGACACCAGCCCACAACGACTACCCGCTCCCCAGGGAAGACGTCGGTGGAGCTGAAGCAGCTCAAGAGGAAGCTGGGGGTCTACAAGAAGCTGCACAAACCCCGAACTCCTTCTACGGATGCATCCAGTTCTTCGGCATCAATGACGCGCACAGTCGTCAAAGAAACTCCGGGCCCTGGAGAAGAGCCGTTCTCCAAGCAGCCTCGGCCAGCTGCCAGCTCAGGAGTAGACAGCAACACCAAGGTGTGTACGGAATATTGGGATGTACCCTATGACCCAATCAATGAAACTATCTTTGGGTACTCCGAGCAACGACTGCCCCTCGTGCTCGAGGTCATCTGCAAAGGACGACGCCTCCAAGCACTCGTGGACAGCGGAGCGTCACACACCGTCTGCGACAAGGCAATGATCGACCGACTCCGGGAAGAGTACAAGCCTTCAGGATTCTCTGCAACGATGGTGGACGGCAGCAAGTTACCAGTACACGGCGAAGCAGTGCTACATCTACAAATCGGACCACTGCGCTGGAGACCTGCACTCCCCATCACCAACATCAAAGGGCTTGACTTGATCTTCGGGCGAGACTTCCTGAAAAAGTTCAACCCCGAGATCAACTGGGTGAACCGCACCGCAAGCATCTACAACAATGGACGGAGAGTACAGCTACCCAACTGGGACGATACAGGAGATATCCCAGTGGAGACACTCGCACGATTCGAGAAGGATGTGAAGCGGACCGACACCGGGTTCCTGGCGATAGCAACAGAGGTGGAGAATGACGGAGAGAAAGCCTCGGAAACTCCAGAAAAAATCAAGGAATTACTGAAGGAGTTCCAAGACATTCTTCCTGACGATCTTCCGAACGAGCTACCGCCATACCGAACGCATCAACACGAGATCGTGGAGGAACCGGGTTCGAAGCCGACCTTCCGAGCACCATACCGGCTCAGCCCTACGGAGCTGACCGACATGAAGAAGCAGATCGAGTATCTCCTAGCCAAAGGACTCATCCGACCATCTACTTCGCCATACGGTGCCCCAGTACTCTTCACACCGAAACCGGACGGAAGCCTGCGCATGTGCATCGACTACCGAGCTCTTAACAAGCAGACCATCAAGAATAAATATCCGATACCGCGAATCGATGACCTGCTTGACCAGCTTCGGGGAGCTACGGTATTTTCCAAACTGGATCTGCGGTCCGGATACTGGCAGATACGGATGGCGGACAACTCTATCCACAAAACTGCTTTTCGAACTCGGTACGGATCGTACGAGTATTTGGTCATGCCGTTCGGACTCACCAATGCGCCGGCAACGTTCCAAGCCGAAATGAACCACATTCTACGACCACTTCTGGACGAATGCGTGGTGGTGTACCTGGACGACATACTCATCTACTCGCGCGACATGAAGCAGCACGTCGAACACCTGCGACGCGTCTTCGAAATTCTTCGACGAGAACGATTCTACGTCAAACTGTCCAAGAGCGAATTCGCCCTGGAGAAAGTCCAATTTCTAGGACACTTGGTGAGCGCTCAAGGAGTTCACGTCGACCCCAAGAAAGTCGAAGCCGTACGTACGTGGAAGACACCCGAGAACGTGAAGGAGTTGCAGCAGTTCCTAGGCTTCGCTAATTACTACAACAGGTTCGTGCCACAGTATGCGAAACTCGCGGCACCACTCACGAATCTGCTGAAGAAGAACACGCCCTACAAATGGGAGACGAAGCACCAGGAAGCCGTGGAGCAGCTGAAACAAGCACTAACGTCCGCACCGGTGCTCATCTTGCCAGATCCCGAACGCGACTACGTAATCGAAGCTGACGCCAGCGACCAGGCAGTGGGAGCAGTCTTAATGCAAGACCAGGGGAATGGACTGCAACCAATTGCCTACCTCAGCAAGAAACTGCACGGGGCAGAACTCAACTAACCGATACACGACAAAGAGGCTCTTGCTATCATCATCGCCTTCAAAGCGTGGAGATGCTATCTCGAAGGACGAAGAACGACCGTCTACACCGACCACTGCAGCCTGAAATATTTGAAGACACAACCCAACCTTTCCAGGCGGCAGGTCCGGTGGATCGACTTCCTCGAGACACACTTCCACTACGACATCGTGTACAAGCCCGGCCACAAGAACAAAGCAGACGCTCTCAGCCGGCCTGCACACGTTGCCGCGATTAAGGTCGAAGGGATGAATCCACTACTCAAGGGACTCTTCACCCACGGGTACGCCATCGACCCCGAAATTTCCTTGGCAGAAAAGCGACATCTGCTACAGTGGGACAGTGACATCGCGTACCGGAAAGGATCAACAAAAATCTGGGTACCCAATTACCCTCCTTTGCGCCAGTTACTACTCGAAGAATACCACGACGTCCTGTACGCCGGACACTTCGGTGGCAACAAGACGCTGACCGGTATCGCCAAACACTACTACTGGCCCCATATGGCAGACGACGTCCAGAAATTCGTCACCTCGTGTGATACATGTCAGCGGATGAAGAGCAGCAAGCAGAAAAAGGCGGGACTACTGCAGCCTCTTCCTGTCCCAGAACAACCATGGCAAGTGGTTAGCCTAGATTTCATCACCGGGTTACCACCTACCTCCAGCGGTCATGACGCCATCCTTGTCGTCATTGACAAGTTCTCCAAAATGGGACACTTCATCCCGACACACACGACGGCACGCACCGAGGAGACAGCACAGCTCTTCGTTCGTCACATCATCTCCCAGCATGGCATCCCAACCACACTCATTTCCGACCGAGACCCCAAGTTCACCAGCAGGTTCTGGAAGGAACTTATGTCTCTTCTCGGGACCAAACTCGCCATGTCATCCGCATACCATCCGCAGACAGACGGACAGACCGAGCGCCTCAACCAAATTGTTGAACAACTCCTCCGAGCAGCCTGCAAGGACGACATCTCCAAATGGGACTTGCACCTGCCCGTACTCGAGTTTGCTTACAACAATGCTACACATGCCGCTACTGGACAGACGCCGTTCTTCCTCTGCTACGGACGCCACCCACTCACACCACAAAAACCGACAGCATCAGCTACAGTCCAACCTGCACACGACTTCATCACAACCATGCACCAACTTTGGGATCGGACCCATAAGCGCCTCCTTGACATTCAACAGCAACAGAAGCGCCAGGCCGATCGCCATCGCAACGACCACACCATTTCCGTGGGAGACCAAGTGCTCCTCGACACCCGCAACCTGGACATCAGCCATCTCCCATCTAAACTTCGACCTCGCTTCTGCGGGCCTTTCCTCGTTGAAGCACAGGTCACTCCTGTTACCTTCCGCTTACGCCTGCCAGCTACCTGGAAGATTCACAACGCCTTCCACGTCCAACTTCTGAAACCCTATCGGGACCCGAACACAATTTTCGTCGGACGCCAGCCGCCGCCGCCGCCGCCCGTCCTCGTCCAGAACGAACCCGAGTACGAGGTCGAGTCCGTGCTTGCACATCGTCGTCGTCGGAATGGCACCGTGGAGCTTCTCCTCCGTTGGAAGGGTTATGATCCATCTGAGGACAGCTGGGTACCTGAGTCCGACATGGGTAACGCCCGTCGTCCTCTGCATGACTACCTTGTCAAGCAGGGTGTTACTTCTACCACCCAGCTTTGAGGGGGGGAAGTGTGAGAGTACGACCCCGTTACACCACTTGGCCTTTTCTTATTTCCTTCCCTTTTCATTTCTCGTTTTACCGCATCTCATTTGGTTTCCTATTTTCCATTTTCCATTATCCTTTGGTCTCTTCCTTTATTATAATTATATCACCGACCAGGCATGGAATGTACTAGAGACGTTATCCAGCGTAATCCTGCCGTAATCCCTTCAAGCCAATAGCCTCACGTGGCTATACGCAGGGTGATTCTATCTTCTAGAAGGGTCTATTCCCTTAGGATAAGATAAACCTGGTTACCTGATGTACTCTGGAAGTATAAAAGCGCCTTGTACTGATCGATAGTGCAACCTTTCCTCGACACATTCGATCCTGTGACAGGTACCTTCCCTCCTAGGACCAAGTGTCTCCTGCGGCGCCCAGTCTACGGCTTGCGGCAGGCGCCCTGCGAGTGGCACGACACGCTGGGTGCTACCCTTGCAGACCTGCAGTTCTTTCCGTCCTCTGCAGACCCCTCGCTCTTCGTTCGTTCTGGCCAGACTCCGTTCTACATCCTTGTTTACGTAGGCGATCTAGTCTTTGCCACTGCAGACACTGCCGCGCTGGCCTTCGTGAAGGCCGACGTGCTGAGGAGACACACCTGCACTGACCTAGGAGAGCTGCACCGCTACCTTGGCTTGCAGATCTCCAGGGACAGAGCAGCGCGCAACTTCACCCTCACCCAGTCACACTTGGTGCGCCAAGTCCTTCAGAGGTTCAGTCTTCAGTTCTCCTCCGCACAGCCCACACCTCTTCCAGTAGATCATAGGCTCTCTGCTCCAGTTCCTGAGGAGTCAGTAGAGCCCAGTGGTCCTTACGCAGAGCTGGTGGGTTGCCTCATGTACCTGATGACTTGCACTCGTCCTGATCTCGCATACCCTCTCAGCATCCTGGCCCGCGTTGTGGCCACAGGCAGACACCGACCTCAGCACTGGTCTGCCGCTAAGAGGGTTTTGCGTTATCTCGCAAGTACATCGGCCATGGGGTTAGTGCTTGGAGGGCGCAGGCCAGTGGTCCTTACTGGGCACACAGACGCTTCTTGGGCAGACGACGCCGAGACCCTCAGGTCCTTACAGGGCAACTGTTTTAGCCTTGGTTCAGGTGCCGTCTCGTGGAGAGCTACTCGCTCCTCGTTTGTTGCCCAGTCCAGCTGTGAGGCCGAGATCTACGCCGGTGCCATGGCGGCACATGAGCTCCGCTGGCTGACTTTCTTGCTCACTAACTTAGGTGAGCGGCCTAGCTCTGCCCCAGTCCTGTACGCTGACAACAGGGCCATGATCCTTCTGTGTCAGGAGCCTCGACTTGAGGGCAGAGCGAAGCACATTCAGCTGCGGTACGTCCTCTTGCGCGAGCTGCAGCAGTGTCGCTAGGCCTGCGTAGTACACTTGGCCTCCGGTGCCAACACAGCCGATATCTTTACGAAGGCGCTTGCGCCTAAAGATCATCAATGGCACTGTGTACAGCTAGGTCTTGTTCCTGTAGCCTCTCACCCGCTAGGGCCTTGATTATGTACAGACCTTTATATATATTTTACCTTGACTGGCCTTGTGGCTTCTCTCAGTGGTGGACTAGTAGTGCCGCCCTGATCTTGCTCTTGTTGTGTCTGTACTCCATTTGACTGGTCTTTAGACCCTTGCCTCAGAGGCTGAACTAGTAGTGCCGCCCTGAGCTGCTTGTTCTCTTGTTAGGCACTGCCCCTATATAGTCTAGTGGGTGTCAAACATAACTTAGTATGTTACTGTAGACTATACAGGTTTGTGCCTTAGAGGGTACAACACACTAGCTTATATTTCCCTGTACACTATTATCCTAGTCATTCTTCAATTTTGATAATATGTCACTCAATTCTAGTTCATTCCGTTTGTGAGACATGCTTCCAGCGATTTTGATGCTGCAGTTGTATTGGTTGCTCAATACTCATTACTTCGATACACGCTCTTTGCTCTTCATTACAACTACACTTTGTTTCGAAATTGGGGAATTCATGCCTTATTAAACATCATGTAACTTCTGGCGGTCAGTCATTCAAAAAACACATTGAGGGCAATAGCAAAAGAAATTACAGATAAAACGAGTTCAACTTGCTGCGTGGACGGACTATGCAATCAGTTATTACAGTCTATGCAGATTTCGGTGCGCCCTGCAAGATGAACAGAGGAAGCAGTCAATGGAATAACCATGAGAAAAGCATTGGAGAATCAAACACACTAGGCAGAACTTCAAGGTTTCGAGAAAATAAACCAATCGTGGCTGACAGGCCCACATCCAACAAGACAATGAAGAGATTAAGGGGGGAACAAAGAGGAACAAAACAGGCAAGATCCCTTGGAAAGGCAGGAAGAGGAAAAAGAGGATAACCCTCAGGAGTGATCCTGCAGGTCACTTATGAGTCAACTCAAAAGTCACCTTGTTGCAAGGTCACACAGCACCTTACCTTGCCAGCTGCAAGGGGAGGGAGGGCTTCGAGGGTGATTCTACGGGTGTCCAGGTCAAAGGAGATGGAGGAGCCGCACCCCTCGCACTTGACCTCGTTGACCCGCTTGCCTGTGCTGACTGTCAGAATTGTGCCAAAGAAGCTCACGTTCTTGTGCCCGCAGTTGGGGCACGGACCCTGGGAGGAGGGTGGAGGGAGCAAGGAGGGAGCAAGGGGGGGGCAAGGGGGAGCAAGGTTCAGGCACCTCACACCAAGAAGCTCACGTTTTTCTTCCCGCAGCTGGGGCATGAGCCCTGGGAGGGAAAGGGGGAAAGGGGGAGGGAGAGGGTGGAAGGTTCAGGAAGTAGGGAATGGATTGCTGGGAGGCTCCTCACAGCAAGAAGCTCACCTTCTTGTGCCCGCAGTCAGGGCGTGGGCCTTGGAGGGGAAAGGGAGAAAGGGAGGTGGGACAGAATGGGTGGTTCAGCAAGTGGGGATTGGATCTCTGGGTGATTCCTCACAGGAAGAAGCTCACGTTCTTGGGCCCAACGTTGGGGCACGGGCCCTGGGGGGGGGGAGCTAGCGAGGAAGAGAGAGAGACGAGAAGTTTGGCTGATATAGCACCGCCCCTAGATTGTGGCTTTGAGCTGTGGAATGAGGCACTTGTTGGGAGCAATTGTGCTGCCTGTCACATGCATGCACGTATGTCCACATGCAACCAGGAAGTCTGAGCGAGACAGCCCCATACCAGGGAGACTGAGCACGCCCATAGCAGGGAGATGGAGCGAGGCCATAGCAGGGAGACTGAGCATGCCCGTAGCAGGGAGATGGAGCGAGCCCATACCAGGGAGACTGAGCACGCCCGTACCTGCAGAATGAGGAAGTCTTTGAAGATGCCATTGGTGATGGCTTGGCTCAGGAGGTACACGATGGGCAGCACCACGAACCACGTGAACACAAAGCTCCAGGGCTCGGGCAGCTGGAAAAGAAGGGAGGGGGAAGAGGCAGGGGACGCAGTGAGCACAAAAATGAGTTGTCTCAGAGGAGGTATACAGTGGGCAGCACGACGAACCACGTGAACACGAGCTTCAGGGCTCCGGGAGCTGAGATAATTGGAAGAGGGAGGGGCAGGCTGGGGGGGGGGCAGGCTGGGGGGTTGACAGGTTGGGGGGTGGGCAGGTTGGGGGATTGACAGGTTGGGGGGTGGGCAGGTTGGGGGATTGACAGGTTGGGGGGTGGGCAGGTTGCGGGAGTGTCAAGAAGAGGAAGATGATGCGACTGTAAGGATGCAAGCCCAGGATGTGAGGACAAGGGCATCAGTAGTGAAGGCACTCAGGACGTGGGATCAATAGTCAGGCAAAGCAGGGTAAGTACCTCGAGTAGGTAGGTGATTAGGGCGAGTACCTTGATTACCTGGGTGGTTAGGGAAAGTACCTCGAGTCTTTGAGTGGTCAGGGTAAGTACCTCGAGTAGGTAGGTGATTTCGAATCCGCTGATGTCATCAAAGAAGAAGACACTGGAGAGAGGAATGAGGAGAGGGGGGGGGGGGGGGGGGGGGGGGGGGGGGGGGGGGGGGGGGGAGGAAGGAGAGGAGAGAGGAGAGAGAGTGGCGGAGGGGGAAATGCAGGGGGTAGGGGCGGAGGGGAAGTGGGGGAGAGGTGACGGTGGGAATGGCAGAGGAAGGACAACCAGGCCATGGAAAAATGAAACCGGGGCGACATGCGAGATGGAAAGAAAAAGATGCGCCGCTGGGGAGTCTAGGTTTGAGGCGCCTCAAAATGGCAGAGGAAGGGCAATCAGGCCATGGGAAAATGCGCTGCTGCTGAAATCAGGGCGACATGAGATGGAAAGAATAGAATGCGCCTAGTTTTGAGGCGCCTCAAAACTATGCGCCGCTGGGTAGATGATGAGGAGCGAGAGCATTGCTGTGGCAGACTTCCATATCCACTACTCAGTCACAGACACAAGGAGGGCCCAGCGGCAGTACTTGCACTAGGAGGGCGAGGATGGCGGCGGGGAGATTCAGGGCGGCCTTGTGGAAGCAGTGCACAAAGCTGTCGCTGTGCGACTTGCACATGAAGAGGCAACCTTTCATTTCTCAGGGCCCACTCACACTAGAAGCGCGAGGATGGCGGCGGGGAGGTTGAGGGCGGTCATACGGAAGTAGTCCACCATGCTGTCGCTGTACGACTTGCGCGTGCGCAGGCTGCAGCGAGGGCCCTCGATGGCCACCTTGCTGCCCTTGGTCTGCAGAGAGGGGCGGGAAGTCGCGGGGGAGGGGGGGGGAGAGGGGGGTGGGGGGGGAGAGGGCGGGGAGAGGGCGGGGAGAGGGGGGAAACGGAAGGATGAGAAGGCGTCGAAGGATGGGGGCAATGGATCAATTGCGCGCGAAGGCTGCAACGGGGGCCCTCGATGGCCACCTTGCTGCTGGGAGGAGCGTGGAGGGAGGGGATGGAGGAATGGCGGGAATACGGAGGGGGTAGATGGAGGAATGGCGGGAATACGGAGGGAGGGGTGAGTGGAAGGTGTTAGCGAGGCCCCTATGACCACCTAGGTCTGGCGGGAGGGACGGACGGTTGGTAGGGGTGGATGGACGAATGGGGTCACACGGCTGAGCGGAGAGACGAGTCGAGGGGCAGACGGCGGGACGAATCAAGGGAGGACGGCATGGGGAATGGAAGAAGACGAAGACGAGGGCGGTGGGGGGTGTGTTGGGGGGCGGTGATGGGGGACAGAGCGGACGGATAGAGTGTGGGTCGGGTGGAGGACAGAGAACGAATGAGGAGGAAGGGAGTGAAAGGGGTCACGGGCAGAGGTGTCAGAAGAACGCGACGATGGAAAGCGAAAGGAAGCTACAGCAGAGTACACAGCACGCCACAGGAACGCACAATACAGGAACCGCACAGAACCGCACAGCACCTTGAGGGCTCGCTTGAGCTCGTCGTATTCCCTGTCGCTCATGAACGGCTTGCCCGCCTGGTACGCCAAGGAAGCTTCCATGAACTTCTGCTCGTCCTTGGCTGGGCGACGGAGACGAGGGGAAGGCAGAAACAGGGAGAGGTAGAACTGATCATGCAGGTGCGTGAATGCTTTGAATTCGTTCAGAGAATTGTTCAAGATGAACTGGGATTGCGACGGTATGCTTCTGAGGCGGCGCCTACAATGACGGACCGGACTGGGAATGAGGCTCTAACGAGTGTGGCACTGACAAACGAGAGAAATATGCACGCTCAAGGAGAAGACGTGCACGCTTCTAGAAGAAGGCGCGAGGAAGACGTGCACGCTCTAGAAGAAGAGCGCACAGCGCAGCATACGCGCATAGAAGAACCTTACAAAGGTAAACGACGACGTGATGGGTATTGGGGTGCTCTAATCATAGACGACAACACCCAAAGACGAACGACGACTTCAGTTCCCTTCCGCACCAACAAGTGAAATTGTCGAACTCCTCGCTTGGCCATGGTGGCTTTTATGAAATGACCCGAAAGAAGAATATATGCTTATAACGAGTACGTTTGCTGCTTACAGAGCACGACGACCTGGCTGCCCTCCCAGAGCAGCTCCTCCTTGAGGTTGTCGAACTCCTCGTTGCCCATGATGGGCTCCTGCCCGATGTAGTACGCCTGCAGCGCCAGCAGGAACTCCTGCTCCATCTCGCCCAGCGTGCGCTGCCGCCTCTTCGTGATGTCGCAGTACGGCAGAATGTGGTTGTCCACCTCGCTGTCGCTGCCGTTGCCAGATTCTACAGGCAACAAACGCAGAAGAGATAATGAAAAAACAAAAAATCAGAAGGGAAGTGAAGCCTTGGGATTCGTTACCATGTGCTTTGAGATTGGTAAGTTCTTTCAGGCTGAGGAGGGTGAGGTTGGGGAGTTCACGTGGTTGAATAGGAAACACAATAGCCGTGTGAAGGGAAATAGAAGGCAAAGTCGAGGAACGCATTGACTGAGACGGACCTTTCTTTGCCGCCTCTTCAGCAGCTGCTGCTCTGACGGCGAAGCGCTGTTGGCGACCGTGCGACGGCGACGACGCCTGGCGAGCGTTTCCCCATGTCGCTGGTAGGCTGCTGGTGCTCGCTAGTCTCTGGCTGGAGGAGAGGGAAACAGGCTGAGCTGCGAATGAATACGCAGGGATCTGTAGTGTAGAAGCGCAAGCCGCCATGACTACTGCGTTGGTCTCCTACTCTCGTGTCACGGTAAAACTCCTCGTGAACAAGAAACGCGGGTCTTCACAACCTCTGCTCGATGGAGACGTTGAGCGACCAGATAAAGCGGGCGCGACCTAGGAGAGTATTTTTTCGACTTAGTCGGACAGATACTTGAGGAAGAGCAATGAGCAACAGGAAAGCCTGATAATACTCAATGCCTGAACTGAATGCGAGGAAAAGCGGAAATTCGTAAGTCAGTGAAACAAGTCATCAAGAAAAATATGAGTCATCAAGGTTGTTCTCAAGCTCCCAAATCCCTAGGTGGGAGGATTCAGGGAAACGGAAAAGGGGGAGGACGACGAGATTTGGCTGGGTCCAAGGTCCCAGGTTCTGAGTGGACGATGTGAAGAGTGAACGACTAATTTGACGGTCGCAAAAGGTTCAAAATGAGTGATGCGAAAAGAGCTGGGCGCCAGATGGCAAACGACAGATGGTTAACGAGGAAAATATGGTTCGTCATTCACATTTCGTGCATACTTGGGTTCGTGCGACGAGCTTGACCTAGTGAAAGGTGGGTGTTGCGAAGTTTCATGACACTGGTGCATCTCTGAAGTCCTGCCTACGTGGCTGCTGACGCCCAATCACTGTTCTAGGGGTTCCGAAAAAGGGCGAACCTTCACTCCCCTGTCCACAAGTGTGGATGAAGGGGACCAATGCCAGGAGAGGTGGCTCTTCAACGGCCACGTCGCTCGTTTGCTGACATGGCCGAGCGGAGAGATCCCGACCAAGAGGTTCATGATTTGAGACGACTGGCCAACATTAGGCAGAAGCAGAACACCACTACACTCAGGTGGTCCAAAACAGATGAACACTGAATAGTGAAAATAGATCAACATTAAAAAACATGGTATGTTCAAGGTGTCTTATGTCAAGCCACGACAGGTAACCCCCCACCGCCATTGTCAGCCAACTGCACGCCCTTACTGGCAAAAACAACATCCCGAGTCTTGGCTTCTCTTGGAAGGGTCGTCGGAGGCAACATCACCTTGGTCGGAGCCTCCACTCTCATCTCCATGCCTTCAAAACACAATGCAACGAGCGGTCGGCCAGACAGGACCTCAACCACCATGTCTGGGCTTTTCATGCCAGTAATCTTCCCCTTGGAAGAATCCGCAGGAATTGTGAGGGAGCTCTGTGCGTAAGCTGGGCTGATGTGGGTGGTGGCTGGTGGGCCGAGGCGCACACTGTAGAAACAAGGGGGTGGGGGCGGGGGGGGGGGGGTTTGGAAAACAGTAGATTGTGTGTGCTCACATGCGTGCTTGCGGGAGCTCGAAAGTCTATATATGTAGGGTATTTTTTAGAATTCTCAAAAATACCTGTATGTGGAACTCTCCCATGCATGGCAAGAAGCTAACTCGATTGAAGAAACAGATGTGGGGGGGTGCTAACAAGCGAGAAGCGGCGCGGCCCGAGCGGGAAAAAAAGGGTCGACCATTAAACTCGGAAGAAGCTGGTTGAGAAAGGTGGTGGAAAGGTGAAAGACTGACCGGCAGGAGAGGTCGCACGAGTACTTCAGCAGAGCAGGTTGCGCCTCTGTGCGTCCACTGGAGAAGGTTTGTACATGGGGCAGGGTGTATGTGGGGCAGGGAAGGTGATGCATGGGAAAGTGGAAGGGGAAAGGGTGGGGGCAATGTAGGAAGGGCAGGTTGCGCCTCTGTGCGTCCACTGGAGAAGGGGTGTATGTGGGGCAGGGTGTACGTGGGGCAGGGGTGGAATGATGAGGGCAAAGGATTAGTGAGGCTGAAGTAGGTAAGAGATGGGCTCAGGTCCATGTGGTGTTGAGCTGAGCAGGCTGGGCCTCTGTGTGGCCACTGGAGAAGTTTTGAGACGTCTCAAAACTAACCACTGAACCACGGATGGGCCAAGTCCATGTGGTGCTGAGCTGAGCAGGCCCTGGATGGGCTTCTGTGTGGCCACTGGAGAAGGAAGCATGTGCAGAGGGGGAAGGTTGATTGGGGAAAGGTTGATGCAGGAAAGGATGATGCAGGGAAGGAGGAAGGAAAGGCGAATGCAGGGAAGGCTGATGCAGGGAAAGAAGACTGGATTGTTGAAGAATGTAAGAGGGGCTAGTGCTGCACCGGATATAGCTGGGCTGGTTACTCAATTGATGCTGGTTACCACATGGTGTGCTCGACTGAAGCTGGTTACCATATGGTGTGCCCGACTGAAGCTGGTTACCACATGGTGTGCCCGAATGAAGCTGGTTACCACATGGTGTGCCCGACTGAAGCTGGTTACCACATGGTGTGCCCGACTGAAGCTGGTTACCACATGGTGTGCCCGACTGAAGCTGGTTACCACATGAGGCGCTCACCTGAAGCTAGGCAGCGACATCTTGATGGAAGGGAGGCGAGAAAAGGACGCGAGTTCTGTTGAAGGGAACAACAGGGATGGACGCACAGGTGCAGTGTTGACAAGGGCGCACACACAGTGCAACATAAGAAAACCCAGCATCTAGAATCGAGTCCAATGCACATAAAACGTGAATGATGAAATGCAGGAAACCCCGCAAGTGAAAGGGAGGAAATGCTGAAGCCGAGAAGGGCGCAAGAGAAGTAAATGCTCTATATCTTCCAGCAAGCAGCAGCACACACACATGGGTGATTCACTCCTGTCACATCATCCACTGACGGCATGGCATGATAGCATGGCATGATAGCATGCACTTGCATATGGCACACCCACAACACAACCAGAACATTGGCCAACAACACTTATAGGGAGCGCGCAAAGGAGTGAGAAAACGGAAAGAAAGTAGGAAGGCGGAGAGCATGCCTCTGGGCGATGGCATCTTCACGTGAAGCTCAAACATGGGTGCGCCGTCTCTAATGCCTCCTCCCTCCCGTCCTCCCTCCCCTCCCCTCTTCCCTCCGTTGCTTGCATCAAAAGAGGCAGCACACCCACTCACCTCTGGCCGATGGCATCTTCATGTGGAGCTCAAACATGGGTGCGCCATCTCTAATGCCTCCTCCCTCCCCTCGCCCCTCCTCCACTCCCCCAATCCCCCCATTGCACACAGCCACCTGCAGGACCGTCCCTTCTCTGCTCCCGCTCTTCCCTACTCCCAACCCCACCCCCTGTGCCTGGTGCTGCCCCCTCCGGTTCAGCAGCCCAGACAGTAGCTGCAGAGGTGAGGCGGCGAGAGGGGCTGGGGCGAGAGAGGAGGGGGCAGAGGTGCTGGAGTGAGGTGATGGGGATGCTGCTGCTGGTGGGGTGGAGGGAGAGGAAGAGGAGATCGAGTGCGGGTGGGTGGTGTGTGAGGCGGATTGAGACGCGGGTGCCAGCTTCTGCACGCAATGGGCAACACGTGGGGCATGGATACAGGCGTATTGGAGCGGAGGGAGAGGAGAGAGAGGGAGAGGAGCAAGAGGGAAAGGAAGGAGTTGGGGTGAGCAGTGTGCGAGGCGGATTGAGATGAGGCGGATTGAGACGCGTGTACCAGCGTCTGCACGGAAGCAGGTGGGGCATGGTAATCAGCGTATTGAACAGATATAGGTATTGTGCATGGATATGACATGCGTGCATGCATGTGTGAGTGTGAGAGTGAGTGAGTGAGTGAGTGAGTGAGTGAGTGCATGTGTGAGTATGAGTGTGTCTGTATGTGTAAGTGTGTTGGGGGAAGTTGGATGGATGGGGAAGGGAGAGAGGGAGGGAGGAAGAGAGAAAAGCAAGTGGGAGAGCAAGTGAAGAGCTAGAGGAGGGAACGGGGGGAGGGGGGGAAGGCACAAAAACGAGTTCGCTTGGCATGCATGCACGCACGTTTGTATCAAGCCACATCAGCCGCATCCGAACAAACAAGAGCCGTACCTTGTTGAAAGAAACAAAGCGGCTCGGCAGCCCAACTTCCTGAAAGATGGGAGGAGGGAAGGAGAGAAGAGAACAGAGCAGCAACTTGAACGACACATGGAAAAAGGAGGAAGGCACAACAACCTTGCTTCAACTCTGCCGGAAGACTAGCACAGCATGGTCACCACGCACAGCATGGTCACCAAGCACGGCTAGAGCTCTGGTTAGAAAGGATATCTGTGCCTTATGCAAATGATGCAATGGTCTCTGGCCGTGGCGCTATCCGCCCACGAGATGTTTGCCCCGGGTCGACATTATCTATGCTTCCGCACCTTGATGCCGTGGTCTCTGGCCGTGGCGCTATCCACCATCACTGCTGCCGCCCAGCTGGAGCCGGGGAACAGGGAATGGGAAGAGTTGGTGTTGAGGGGGAGATGATGAGCCGTGGTGGGGGTAGGGAGTGGCAGGGAAGGTGTATGGCAGGGAAGGTGTATGGCAGGGAAGGTGTATGGCAGGGAAGGTGTATGGCAGGGAAGGTGTGTGGCAGGGAAGGGAAAGGAACAACGGGAGGAGGAAGAGAGGGGAGGGGGAAGGGGCGGGTGTGGTGGTAGAAAGGAGTGGATCGAGCGGAGCAGCTTTCAGGAGTGGGAAGGGTGAGGGAGTTAGGGAGAGTGGCGGAATCACTCTCCCTTAAGGGAGAGTGGAGAGTAAGGGTGTGATGTGAAGTGGGAATGGTCGGACAGTGCCCCATATGCTTTTCTTTCGTGAGCATTCTAGAAAATGGGTTGAGGACGGAACGGACAATATCAATCCACTCCACTCCACTGGGTCCCATCCCATGTGCTGGCGGGCAGTGAGGGCAACATGGTGATTGTGCTGCTATCGAGGTTGTTGGGGCGAGAGAAAGACCAGAGCCGTTGTGCTAATAACGAGGGCAGGGCTGTTAGTGTGAAGTGAGCTGAGCTGGACTCACGCGCACGAGGCGGGTGGGTCCCACACGATGCCGGGGATGATGACGAGCTGCGGGCAGCAGGGCAGGTGGAAGGGCAGCAGGGCAGTCGGGGGCATTGGAAGTGGGGGAAGGGGGGTGGGGGAGAGAGAGATCGTAAGGAACATGGCTGCGAGCAATGGATGTGATGTGAGGCACTGTGGCTGTGGGCCCCACCTACACGATGCCGGGGATGATGACGAGCTGCGGAGAGTAGGGCAGAGGGGGAAGAGGGAGGGGGGAGGGAGAGTGGCATTGTAAGCATGGTTGGAAGGGATGTGATGCACTGTGGGTCCCACACGATGCCAGGGATGATGACGAGCTGCGGAGAGTAGGGCATAGGGGGGAGGGGGAGGGGGAGCGACAGTGGTGGCGAGGGAGAAGAGGGGAGGGGATTGGAGGGGAGAGAGGGGGAGGGGATGGGTGGGAGGGGAGGGGAGGGGAGGGGGTGGGAGGAGAGGAGAGGAGAAGAGGGTATAAGAGGAAGTAGGGGATGCTTCGAAGGGTGGATCTAGTTACAGCCTTCCAAATGCCCATTCAGATACAGCTTTCCCAATGCCCAGTGAATGAATGCACCCTTCCCCAGTCGTACCTCGTCAAACTTCCCAGCAGGACTCGAGTCGTATTGCGCGTAATAGACTCCGCCCAAGGTGTAGCTGGGGGGGGGGGGGGGAAGGGGGGGAATAGGTGGGAGGGGGGACGGAAGGGGGGGGGAGGAGAGGTGAGGGGGAGGGACTCGAGTCATACTGCGCGTAATAGACTCCGCCCAAGGTGTAGCTGCAGCGGGGCGGAGGGAGATGGGGGGGAGGGGGGACGGAGAGGGGGGAAGGGGACGAGAGGGGGAGGGACTCGAGTCGTACTGCGCGTGGTATACCCCCGTGGTATACTCCGCCCAGGGTATGGCTGCGAGGGGGCGGGGGAACGGACGTGTTGGGGTAGGGGGGGGAGAGGGTGCGGCTGGGGTGGAGAGGGCACTAGAGGGGGACAGAGATGGGGAGGGTTGGCGGGGGGGGGATGTTGACAGGGAAAGCGGGACTCGACTCTATCGTTCACCCTTTCCCAGCACTCCCCCTCTTCACCCCAGCTCCCTTCATTTCCTCGCGACGCACCCAGGGCTGAAACCTCCCTTCATTCTGCTTTTGAGTCGACTCAAAAGCAGACTCTTCACCCCGCCCGCTTTCATTTCCCTGCAAGGACCAGGGCTGAGACCTCCCTTCAATCCCCTGCAAGGACCAGGGCTGAGACCTCCCTTCAATCCCCTGCAAGGACCAGGGCTGAGACCTCCCTTCAATCCCCTGCAAGCTTCAGGGCTGAGACCTCCCTTCAATCCCCTGCAAGGACCAGGGCTGAGACCTCCCTTCAATCCCCTGCAAGGACCAGGGCTGAGACCTCCCTTCAATCCCCTGCAAGGACCAGGGCTGAGACCTCCCTTCAATCCCCTGCAAGGACCAGGGCTGAGACCTCCCTTCAATCCCCTGCAAGGACCAGGGCTGAGACCTCCCTTCAATCCCCTGCAAGGACCAGGGCTGAGACCTCCCTTCAATCCCCTGCAAGGACCAGGGCTGAGACCTCCCTTCAATCCCCTGCAAGGACCAGGGCTGAGACCTCCCTTCAATCCCCTGCAAGGACCAGGGCTGAGACCTCCCTTCAATCCCCTGCAAGGACCAGGGCTGAGACCTCCCTTCAATCCCCTGCAAGGACCAGGGCTGAGACCTCCCTTCAATCCCCTGCAAGGACCAGGGCTGAGACCTCCCTTCAATCCCCTGCAAGGACCAGGGCTGAGACCTCCCTTCAATCCCCTGCAAGGACCAGGGCTGAGACCTCCCTTCAATCCCCTGCAAGGACCAGGGCTGAGACCTCCCTTCAATCCCCTGCAAGGACCAGGGCTGAGACCTCCCTTCAATCCCTGCAGGACCAGCTAACCTCCCTTCAATCCCCTGCGAGGACCAGGGCTGAGACCTCCCTTCAATCCCCTGCAAGGACCAGGGCTGAGACCTCCCTTCAATCCCCTGCAAGGACCAGGGCTGAGACCTCCCTTCAATCCCCTGCAAGGACCAGGGCTGAGACCTCCCTTCAATCCCCTGCAAGGACCAGGGCTGAGACCTCCCTTCAATCCCCTGCAAGGACCAGGGCTGAGACCTCCCTTCAATCCCCTGCAAGGACCAGGGCTGAGACCTCCCTTCAATCCCCTGCAAGGACCAGGGCTGAGACCTCCCTTCAATCCCCTGCAAGGACCAGGGCTGAGACCTCCCTTCAATCCCCTGCAAGGACCAGGGCTGAGACCTCCCTTCAATCCCCTGCAAGGACCAGGGCTGAGACCTCCCTTCAATCCCCTGCAAGGACCAGGGCTGAGACCTCCCTTCAATCCCCTGCAAGGACCAGGGCTGAGACCTCCCTTCAATCCCCTGCAAGGACCAGGGCTGAGACCTCCCTTCAATCCCCTGCAAGGACCAGGGCTGAGACCTCCCTTCAATCCCCTGCAAGGACCAGGGCTGAGACCTCCCTTCAATCCCCTGCAAGGACCAGGGCTGAGACCTCCCTTCAATCCCCTGCAAGGACCAGGGCTGAGACCTCCCTTCAATCCCCTGCAAGGACCAGGGCTGAGACCTCCCTTCAATCCCCTGCAAGGACCAGGGCTGAGACCTCCCTTCAATCCCCTGCAAGGACCAGGGCTGAGACCTCCCTTCAATCCCCTGCAAGGACCAGGGCTGAGACCTCCCTTCAATCCCCTGCAAGGACCAGGGCTGAGACCTCCCTTCAATCCCCTGCAAGGACCAGGGCTGAGACCTCCCTTCAATCCCCTGCAAGGACCAGGGCTGAGACCTCCCTTCAATCCCCTGCAAGGACCAGGGCTGAGACCTCCCTTCAATCCCCTGCAAGGACCAGGGCTGAGACCTCCCTTCAATCCCCTGCAAGGACCAGGGCTGAGACCTCCCTTCAATCCCCTGCAAGGACCAGGGCTGAGACCTCCCTTCAATCCCCTGCAAGGACCAGGGCTGAGACCTCCCTTCAATCCCCTGCAAGGACCAGGGCTGAGACCCCCTCCCGCAGACCCTCCCCTTCAATCCCCTGCAAGGACCAGGGCTGAGACCTCCCTTCAATCCCCTGCAAGGACCAGGGCTGAGACCTCCCTTCAATCCCCTGCAAGGACCAGGGCTGAGACCTCCCTTCAATCCCCTGCAAGGACCAGGGCTGAGACCTCCCTTCAATCCCCTGCAAGGACCAGGGCTGAGACCTCCCTTCAATCCCCTGCAAGGACCAGGGCTGAGACCTCCCTTCAATCCCCTGCAAGGACCAGGGCTGAGACCTCCCTTCAATCCCCTGCAAGGACCAGGGCTGAGACCTCCCTTCAATCCCCTGCAAGGACCAGGGCTGAGACCTCCCTTCAATCCCCTGCAAGGACCAGGGCTGAGACCTCCCTTCAATCCCCTGCAAGGACCAGGGCTGAGACCTCCCTTCAATCCCCTGCAAGGACCAGGGCTGAGACCTCCCTTCAATCCCCTGCAAGGACCAGGGCTGAGACCTCCCTTCAATCCCCTGCAAGGACCAGGGCTGAGACCTCCCTTCAATCCCCTGCAAGGACCAGGGCTGAGACCTCCCTTCAATCCCCTGCAAGGACCAGGGCTGAGACCTCCCTTCAATCCCCTGCAAGGACCAGGGCTGAGACCTCCCTTCAATCCCCTGCAAGGACCAGGGCTGAGACCTCCCTTCAATCCCCTGCAAGGACCAGGGCTGAGACCTCCCTTCAATCCCCTGCAAGGACCAGGGCTGAGACCTCCCTTCAATCCCCTGCAAGGACCAGGGCTGAGACCTCCCTTCAATCCCCTGCAAGGACCAGGGCTGAGACCTCCCTTCAATCCCCTGCAAGGACCAGGGCTGAGACCTCCCTTCAATCCCCTGCAAGGACCAGGGCTGAGACCTCCCTTCAATCCCCTGCAAGGACCAGGGCTGAGACCTCCCTTCAATCCCCTGCAAGGACCAGGGCTGAGACCTCCCTTCAATCCCCTGCAAGGACCAGGGCTGAGACCTCCCTTCAATCCCCTGCAAGGACCAGGGCTGAGACCTCCCTTCAATCCCCTGCAAGGACCAGGGCTGAGACCTCCCTTCAATCCCCTGCAAGGACCAGGGCTGAGACCTCCCTTCAATCCCCTGCAAGGACCACGGCTGAGACCTCCCTTCAATCCCCTGCAAGGCTTCAGACTTTTTGAGTGCCAACGCACCCAATCTCAGAGAACCCAATCTCAGAGCACCCAATCTCAGAGCACCCAGCCTCAGAGCACCCAATCTCAGAGCACCCAATCTCAGAGCACCTAATCGCAGAGCATCCAAGCTTAGAGGACCCAATCGCAGAGCACTCAATCGCAGAGCACCCAATCGCAGAGCACCCACCCGAAGGCTTCGACGAGCTTGAGTTCCGGCGGAACGACGCGCCGCGCCACGTCAGCCTTGACCAGGTTCAGCTGGTACAGCGCCCTGATGAGAGTGACAATAGCGGGGGATTCGGAGGAGGATGCGGCGAACGTGGGACCGTCGGCTCAAACTGGATATACGTTGACCTCTATTTAAACTGAACAAGATGGTATTCCCATACTCGTTATTAACATTCGAGGAGGAATGCGACCCCACGAACCCAGGCTACTGATTTCAAGTTTGAAACAATGTAATCCGCTGTGACTTTTGAGTCGACCCACAAGTCACGAACCCTGGCTACTGCTTCTTCGCTTGAGAGAATCTAATCCGTTGTCCTACGGCGAGGAACGGCCAGCCGCTGACGTCATCTACTAACCTGCCCTTGAAAATCCACGGCGGACCGGCAGCGTAGCCCTCCTTCGGACGGCTCTGATTGACCTGATTGCAGCTGTTGCTGGCATTGCCGTCACTGCCTCCACCCGCCATTGCTCGACCTGTCTCTGACTGCGTTAGCCACGTCAATGACACGTGGACGCGTGCTGCGTGGCGTTCCGCAAGAGAGAGCGGAGCGGAGCGGTGGTGTCAGGCGAGGCGTGGAATAGTCAGATAGAGCTTCAGCGGATCAGGCAGGCGAAGGCAAGACAAGCAGGCTGATAGTGGTGGTGTGGTGGGTGGTGAGTTCTAAGGGAGTATCCGATTGCGGTTGAATTAGCTGCTTCGTGTTATAAGAGATGCAAAACGTTTGGGTACGGTGACGTAGGGTACTTAGCGGAAACGTACATCACGGATGTTTGATGAGGCATTTGTGATCAACCATGATGGAGATTTGGCACGACATGTCGACACAGGAGCGTTTGATTGGCTGAGCGAATATTCCTGGATTCCATTAGAGATTTGTGGCCTTGGGAGGTCCGCGAGAGACAGTGAGCAATAGCGAACGCTCGTCAATTTCGCTGACTGGAGAAGCTCTAGACAAACCTTGCACATAAAAGAGAAGTATTCATCCACTAAAGAAGAAACCTTAACCGATACTAGTATGTCCACCTGATTGATTTCTCCGACAACGCACACCTGGCTCTCCATTCCAGCATTCCTGATTGTCACTTTCAGCGATTCACAGCTTCTTCTCTTCAAGACCGAGGCTTTCACTCATCCACAACCAGTTTCATTGAGGACCGAGTGCATCCCTTGCTCCCTCCACCATATACGGCTCCATGGCACGCCAGAGGACTTGTGCAGACCGCCCACTGAATCTCATAGCATTCTTCTCTCCCCGTGCTCCCTTCTTCCATGCACAGTCTTCCACTCTCGCTCCTACCACCGCTACCACTAGTGCCACCTCCTTGGCAGAATACCCCTCAGCTCCAAAAACCAAGCTATAACCATCACCCTTGTTCTCACCAGATTTCTTCACCTTTTCACTGGTCTTCTCCACCCCTGCCCCCTCCCCCCCTCCCTCTCCCCCTCCTCTCCCTCCAGCTCCTCCATCCCCTGTAATAGCCCATCCATTATACATAAACCACGCTGCCATGCCTCTTGGTGACAGCCAGCGGTGAATAAGACGAGGAATCACCGCCTGCCCGCCGCCCTGTTTGCCAGCCATGTCCCTCGAACCCACTAGGGAGCGGAACTGCCGAGCGTAGAACTGCAGCGATGGATGCGCGATGGTGGCAAAGGTGCGCAGCTGAAAGGGAGCAGTGTGCAGCGCTGATGCACCTTCTGCCTCTCTACCCTCAATCACTTCCCTGTCCCCTCCACCGTCCCCACCTTTACCCACACCTTCCCCCTCACCCTCCTCCCCCCCTACAGTCACACCTACCTCACCACCCCTTGCCTCTTTCCCCCCTACAGTCACATCCCCTACAGTCACATCCACAGGGGGAGCGGCCACCCAGGGCAGAAACAGCTCGTACAGGGAGTCCAGCACCAGCAGGCGCCACTCCTCGCCCGCTCTGATTGGCTGGGAGAAGCGCACCGAATGCGTCACCCCCCCATCCGCACTCTCCACCTCCGCTCCCCCCAGTAATGCTCCCACCAGCACCTGCCGCTGCTCCCTGGACAACCTCAACCCCATGCCCATCCCCATCGCCACATCCCCGTCCCCTGGTAGTGCCGTCTCCCATCCTCGGCTTCCTCCTGCTCCGGCTCCTCCGGCTCCTCCTGCTCCTCCTCCCCGCGCCGCCACAGCAGCAGCCCACGCCTCGTCCCGTCTCACTCTGTCCCCTCCTAGCAACCCCTCCACCACCTCCCTCACTCCCCCCTGCAAGCTGAACCTCCTCGCTCTCCCCGCTCCCCCACTCTCCCTCTCACTCCCCTCCTCCCCTCTCACCCTTCCACCTCCCCTCTTACTTCCTGCCTCCTCGTCCCCTTGACTCTCCTCGACCTCTTCACTCTCATCATCTTCTTCCTCGCTCTCCTCTCCCTCCGCTTCTCCCCCCCTCACCACACCTCGCACCCCCTCTTGCAGCATGGCTTCATACACTCGCTCCAGGCCCCTCACATCCCCTGCCTGGCCCAGTGCCAGCAGCAGCAGATCATAGGTGCGCTGATTCGGAGGACTCAGTGCAGGTAGTAGTAGCCTCGCCTCCGTTGCCTTCGCTGTTAAATCCTCATGCTCATCCTCATCCTCCCCCTCCTCTCCCTCTCTGTCCTCCTCGCTTTCTTCCTCCTCTTCCTCTTCTTCCTCCTCCTCAGACCCCCATTCCTCAGTCGCCCCCCTCCCCCCCTCCTCGTCCACCCATGCCTCTCCCAACCCTCACCTCCCATCTCCCACTCTCCTCCCTCCCTTCCTCGCCCATCTACCCCTGTCCCCCTCGGCGCCTCTCTCTCCTCCCTCCCTCCTCTCACTCCGCGCTTCATCTCCCTCCCACCTTTCCTCCCTCCCTCTGTCCCACCCTTCATCCCGCCCTCTCCTCCTCCTCTCCTCCCGCCCTCTCCTCCTCCTCTCCTCCCGCCCTCTCCTCCTCCTCTCATCCTCCACTCTCTCACGCCCTGCATCCCCCCGTACAGCTCCCACGCACCTTTCCAGTCGTGCGCCAGGAGGTGCGTGTGCAGCCTTAGGTTGCACGCCTCAACGCTCGCAGGGCAGCCGAACGACGCCATCTCGGAGAATAGGCGCACTGCTGCGTCCCTTGCTGCTGCTGCTGCTGCTGCTGGTGGTGCTGCTGCTGTTGCAGGTAGCACTGATGCTGATACTGCTGCCACTGCCACCACCACTGCTCCTGCTCCTTCTCCTGCTCCTCCTGCTCCTCCTGCTGGCGATTCTGCCCCATCTGCCTCACCAGCCACGCCCCGCCTCACGTGCATCCTCAGCACCGCATTGTACCCCTTGGTAAGCGGCCCCATGCCCCGCTCCCCCATCTCCCTCACCACCCTCTCTGCTGCTGCCACCTCCCCAGCCCCACTCAATGCTTCCACATACACGTTGTATGCCCGCAGGCTCGGCCGAGCCTGTCTGTCTGCTCCGGCGCTGAACCTCTCCGCCGAACCAGCTGCAGCGGCAGCCTCTGCTGCGTCAACCACCTTCGGCCAAACGCTCACTGCTTCTCTGTGCCGCTGCGCTTTGCTAAGCACTTCCATTAGAGCAACTAGTACCTCCTGACTAGGCCGGAAACCTGCCTCTTCCACCTCTTTTACTCCCTGCGCTGCCCGCTCGGGCAGCCCGGTCAGCACGCCAAAAACTTCCCCCCTGCCCGTGACAAAATTGTCCTGCTGCCCGAGCGGTCCATGCGAGTGGTACGCCCGGGCACAAGCAATCACCGCGGATTCGAGGGCAGGAGCGGGGATTGGGAGCTTAGCTAAGCGCATCTGAACTAAAAGTGCGTCAACTTTGTCGATATCTCCCAAGCAGGCCAGCTGCTGGGCCAAGCGGGAGAGCATTAGGGGAGTGACTGGGGCGCCGAGGGAACCTAGGTCTTCAAGTAGGTGCTCTAGCTTGCTGACGTGGCGGCCTCTGGCGGACGGGCGGCTGAAAACTTCAAAGAGCTCGTAGAGAAGTTGGGAGGATGGGGGGGAAGATGTAGAGTCAGATAAAGGTTTGGGGGATTGGGGAGAGGAGGGGTAAATTTCCCCTGGCAGTGCTGCTTGGGTTGCTTCCCCTGATGGCAAATTGAGGGTTGAGTCAGTTGCCATGGCGCTGCTCTCTGTTTTCCCTCCCATGCCAGTCATCGTTCCATACACCTCCCATGCACTCTCCTCTAGTCTCTCCACCTCCTCTCTCATCCTCTTCCCCCTGCCTCTTGCCCCCCTCTCCCCCTCCTCCCCCACTCCGCCTTCTCCTCCCCTTCCCCCTTTCCCCTTGCCCTTCCCCCCACGCCCCCCTTTGCTACCTCCCCCGTCCCATTTCCACTCCTCCGCCCGTTTCGCGGCAAGGAGCAAAGACCGGATCACCCCCTCAAAAGCGGGGCGAGACGGGAAAACACCCTGGGGGAGCGCGGAGGAGAGCAGGGGGAGGATGTGGCGGGTCTTCCCCTGGGCGGCGGCGGACAGCAGGAGGGCGGAGAGGAGAGGGGGGGAGGCGGAGGGGGAGAAGAAGGGCGCATGTAGCGCCCACTGGAAGACCTGTGCGGGGCAAGGGGATGGGGGGAAGGGGAGGAAAGCGGATGGAGAAATGTGAGCCCTAGAGTGGAAACTCCTCCTCAGTTTCAGATTGACACTAGCAACAATGGCATTCCACCCCACGTCCTCCCTTTCCCACCTATATTGCTTTTGAGTCGACTCAAAAGCGTCCTACCTTTCCCACCTATACCTTCCCTCCCCCCCCCCAATCCCTTCACTTCGACCCTCCCCCAAATGTACCTGAATCACATAATTCCTACCCACTCCTGCCCCATGCACTCACCCGTATGCCCCTGACGACCTCTTTCCTCGCTATAAGGCTCGCCACTACAGCGTTGAGGTCCCCATGCGCATCCACTGCCGCTGCCCATTCAGCATCCGCACCAGCGCGCTCGGTACCACCGCGCCCACCTCGCGCGCAAGCCACCCCACCTTCCGCCTCCGCCACTCCTCCCCGCCCGCCTCCTCCTGAAGCCCGCCCAAACCCTCCCTTAAACCCTCCTTTAAATCCCTCCGCAACTCCCCGCGCAATCCCCTCGTGCTGGCTTCCGGTTGTGTGCTACCCACGACAAAACCCTCCGCCACTGAGCTTTCTGCCGCAGCTGCCCGCGGAAGCAGGCCAAGACTTTCATCTGCCCGTTTCTCTCTGGCAGCACTGTCTTTCCAGCTGTTCTCGGTCTCCTCCGCCTCCTCCGCCTCCTCCGCCTCCTCGCCTCCCCAAAAGCCCTCACTCCCTTGCCCCTCGTCGGCCCCTTGGTCCTCATCTTCCTCCTCCTCCACGTCCAAACCCAAAACCCCGCCGCCTTCTTCTTCCTCCTCCGCCTTCTCTTTTCCGGAGCCTCTAACCCACGTGAACTCTTCAGCCTTGCCCCCTTCTTTCCTTGAAACTTCGCCATCGTCGCGCCACTCGCGCCACTCGCGACCCGCCCACTCCCCCCGTTCGGCCCGCTCCCCACGTTCTCCCCGTTCTCCCCGCTCGCCCCGCTGCGCCCACCTCGGTTGCGAGGCTGCGACCGCGCTCCCCCTTGCTCCCCTCCACGCCTCCCCCGCTCCTCCCCTCTCTCTCCCCTTTGCTTCCCCGCGTCCGCTGTAACTCTTCCCCCATGCTTCCCCCCCCCCGCCTCGTGCCCCGCTCCAGCGTTCCCCGCGCCCACCTCGTTCTCCGCTCCATGCTGCCCCCCGCCCCCGCGCCCCCGCAGGGATCCTCCCCGCATACCCCTTCTCCCTCGTTCCGCCCCGCCCTCGTTCCCCGCCCCATGTTTCCCCGCGCCCGCCTCTCCCCCCCGCCCATGGCCCCCCCCGACCCCGGGCCTCCGCCGGCGCCCTCCCCGCAGACCTGCGCTCCCCGTCACTCCCGCTGGAATCGTACCGCCCTCCGCCGTTCGATCGCCCGTCGTACGACCGCCCTTCGTACGGTCCCGAACCGTACGGCTTCGATCCGTACGGTCTGGAGTCGTACGGTACGGCATCGTCACGCGGACTGACACCGCCGCGCCCCCGTCGATTGTAATCTGGCGACTGAGATGTCTCTAATCCCCTCCGAACGCGGTCCGGGACGTCCAAAAGCGTCCGTGGCGGCTTATCGTCGTCCGATCGCCATCCCCCGTCATAAGCACGCTCTCGACTGCCACCAGAGCTCCGCGTTCCATGAGTAAAATAACTTTCCCCTCCACGCCGATTCCATGCCTCGCCATTGTAATTGTCCTCGCTATAATCAGCGCCGTTTCTACCCCATGTCTTGTTTGAAACGCCTGGCGTTATCTCCTCCGCATACTCGCCTCTTTCCGCTCCCCCTCCCCTTCTCCAAGCCGTTTCCCCGTCATACCCCCTTCCGCCTCCCACCCTTTCCCCCGCCCTTCCGCCTCCCCTACTTCCTCCCCTACTCCCCCAGCTGCTCCCCCTGCCGCCTAACCTCCCCCCTCCGCGCCCCCGAACAGCGTCCCCCGGGGGGAACCTCCGGGGACTGCCCCTGGTCTCATCGCCCCCGTCTCGACCCCCGCGCGCGCCAAACCGCCCAAGTCCGTCGGATCGTGAGTGGTCGGAGAATCCTGGCCCTTCCTGAGCGGCACGAGATTCGACCTTCAACAGACGTCGATTTGTATTCAGCACGGATGCGGGGAAGGAATGTGAGGGGACTGAGGGACATAAATCAGCCGTGCGCGAGAACCTGCCAGGATAAACGCCCAGCGGCGTTGAGGAGACCAGATTGGCCGCCATGGGAATATTGGCGGTTGGAAAATGAATGTGAGATTGAGTGATCTGGCAAGTTTGATCCCAAATGCAAGGTTAAAGCGAGGATCTCAAGAAGCAGAAAACCAAAACCGAAAGGTTTTGGTTTTGGGGGGTAGCGAAAATCGCGAGGTTTGGTGGGGGGTGTTGGAGGCCTCAGTTTCTGTTTCGCTTATTTCGTCACCCCGAAACCAAACCCTTTGGATTTGGTTTCGTGCTTCTTGAGATCCTCGCTATACGCCTGCGAGGGGTTTGGAGGGGTTTGGGGTTCAAGCCTGTGATGGATTGACCCAGGATTCCTCGTTATACGTCTGAGGCCAGCGTGCTTCCACATCGTACAAGACGAGCGCAACCAACGGAGGAGGTGTATACTTGAAACGGAAAAGGTGGAATTTGAAGGACAGGTGTTGCTGAACGAGTAGACGAAGAGTGAGATGCACAGGCAGGAAAGAAACGAACTAAGATTTGCGTGCAAGGTTGGATCTTGTGAGCACAGTCCATGTTTCTCCATCTGCAAAAGAGGGGCAATCACTTTTTGCATTATCACCCAGGCCCCTCTCCACTTGACCGGACGGCCGGCCTCCGAATGTTTATCTTTTAGAACCACATTTCTTCCTCCTAAGCAAAAGTGAAAACAGGATTCGCCATCAGGGCATCTCACATGCCATCACGATCCATGTATCTGACTCTTGGGAATCAGAATCCGGTGGGAAAATACCAAACCCTCTCTGGCAGCTGGCATACTCATGCAATCCCGAGGACCCTTTGGAATCCTGCGATCCCCCAGCCAATAAGGATAGGGCATGGAGCCGAACCAATCCCAGGACAGAGCAGATAATGGGGAGCCAAGGTCTAGGACTGAAGACTTGGCTTAGCTGAGGCTGCTTCACGAGATTGTCTCCTCGCAGATGGACCTCCTGAATGTTTGGCAGCCGCCCGAGATTCCTGGGCAGCCCATCCAGGGATGGAAGGTCTGAGAGCTCTAAACACCGAAGCCATGTCATCTGCCCGTGTTGAAGGCCTTTTGGCAGGGTGTGAAGATTTAAGCAGTCAGAGACCACCAAGACTTCCAACCGGGGTAGGCTTGAAAGGGACTCGGGCAGTTCGGAGATTTCGTCATTCATGACCACAGCAAGCTCCTGCAGTTGCGTCAGCTGCCCGATGTCTTCAGGCAGCGACTGAAGCTTCCCACACCTGCAAATTGACAGGCTGGTGAGTGATTTCAGGGCAGTCACGGATGGTGGTAGCTGTTCCAAGACCAATGACCCAGTCACCTCCAGAATCTGCAGGTTCTGCAAGTTTCCAATCCCATCAGGCAGGGAAGATAAAGACCCGCAATGCATGATGCGAAGACTCTTGAGCCTGGTCAGCAGAGACGCGGATTCTGGTAACCGTTGGAATGCTGGGCACATCATCAAATGCAGCTTCTCCAGGCTTGAGAGCTGCCCCAGGGACTCGGGCAGAGTCGAAATTTCCGGCAGGCGAATCAGCTCCAGAGTCTTGAGAGAATGCAGGTACCCGAGATCTTCGGGCAGTGAATCCAAGATTGAGCAGGAGAGGAGCTTTACGGAGAGAAGAGAAGGCAGCTTGCAAAATCCCTCTGGGAGCTTTCCCAGCTGCGGCAGATTCAAGCAGAGGTGTTTGAGGCTGGAGGGCTGTTGACCGGAGATCTCGGGCAGCACCTGGAGATTTTCGCAGGAGAGGGTCAGCTCTTGAAACGATCCCCATTCGCCCAGGGTTTCAGGAAGATTATGGAGGCTTCCAGATTCAATCTCCAGAATCTGAAGCGAAGGAAAGGAGTTCGGGATCTGGGATGGCATTGACTTAACGCCATGAGCGCATAACCGGAGGTGCTGGAGGCGGGGGAGAGATAAGAGCGAGGGAGGTAAGGAGGCGAGGGAGCCTGGCAGGACCAGGGACAGCTGCTCCAGCGCCGTGCAGCTGTGGAAGAAAAACTCCAGGCCACGGAGATAGAAAATACTGCTGCTGAGGTCAGGGGAAACTCGTGCTTGAGAAACTGGCTGCTGTTTCTGAGCAACGGATTGTTCTTGAGTCAAGAACGGTACTCGAGCCGATGGGGGATCTGGAGGTGATAGTGATAGTTCTTGATTTGAAGCTTGGCCATGAGTTGATGCTTGGTCTTGAATGGACTCCTGCCCAAGGCTGAGGTCCGGCAGGGAGAGGCTGATCAGGTTCGGACAGGTTCGGCCGAGGCGGTGGAGGAAGGTCGCAGGAACACGTGTCATGCTCTGATTCGCCAGCTGGAGGCTGGTGAGGTTGGGGAAGCGGGAGAGCGACGCAAGGAGGAGATCGCCTGAGATGCTTCGGGATTCGTCCACGTGGACTGCTGATCTGGCGAGCTGAGCGAGCCGCAGCCACCTTTTACACGTCAGCGCGTGGGAGAAGGACGAGGGACAGCGGAGCGAGACGAAGCGAAAGATAAGTCTAAGAGCCTCGTCAGGAAGACTTTCAGAAACGGTTTCATGCTCGAAACCGCTAGACCTTGTGGTACGAGAAGGATCCATGACGCTGAGATAGGCACGAGGCGACTGCGAAGGATTACGTGGACTACGAATAACCTACTACCGCCGAAAGGATCCCGAAGCACCGCGTCCTTTTGAAGGGCAGAAGCACGCAAGCATCAACACGCATGCTTTGGAGGAGGGTGTAGCGAGGAGCATAAGAACCTGCGAACTACATAACGCATAAGAGAAACTGCGAGGAGCTGAGCTGAACTGGCTCAAGTGTGGTGCTGTTGGTGGTGGCACACCGTCATAGAAACGAGTGGTCACCTGTTGGCGAGTGTGGCACGGAACAAGCGGTTTGTAGCATATTCGTTTCTACTAAACGGTCTGTACAATGACGCATACTATACTACCAAGCTACAAGCACACCCAACCAACATTACCACCCTATTTCCTTTGCACCCTTTCCTTCCTCATATAGGGAATGGTCGAATGACCCAGAATTCTAACCTTGAGCCGCCAGACGGAAAAATAAATTGCGTTGAGAAGCTGCTGTATGAGCAGCAGTTGCTTGAGGATGTAACGCAAGTGGGCCAAATGTCATCCAAAAGGAAGATGGCTTTGGGTGAAATGATGCTTCAAGCTGTGGCGTCTTGGCAAGATTAACGCCCTTCAGCTTCACCACTTCAATGCTTGGGAGCTTTCCTAGGTTATTAGGCAACTTAGGCAGGCACGGGAAATGAGAAAGCTCTAAATGCGTTACGCTCTTCAGCTGTTCACCACCCACGCCCTTGGGCAGAAATCGAAGCTGTGGGTACTCTGAGATTGCCAGGCGCTCAAGCTGTGACAGGAAAAGCAGTGAATCTGGAATCTCCCGCATGCAATAAATCGCAAGGAGTTCAAACTGTCAACTTATACATATATTGTTATGTAGAAGTTATAGGCTAGATAGGGTATTCTCTTAGTGGGTACTACCCAAACTCTATATTTCCCTTGTTCTCCTTTCTTCTAATCATACTTTCTAGTCTTAACATGGTATCACGAGTAGGTAGGTCCACCCACCCGCTTCCGCCACGTGCCGCCACCTACCGAACCCTCACGCCCCTAGCCGGCCACGTTGCACCCCTAGCAGGCCCCGTCGCGTCCCTAAGGCCCCATCGCGCCCCTAGCCGGCCCCGTCGCGCCCCTACGGCCCCGTCGCACCCCTAAGGCCCCATCGTGCCCCTGATCGGCCCCGTCGTGCCCCTAGCCGACCCCGCGCGCCCCTACGGCCCGTCGCGCCCCTTGCCGGCCCCATCGCGCCCCTCGCCGGCCCCGTCGCGCCGCTAAGGCCCTGTCATGCCCCTACACCCCGTCGCGCCCCTACCGGCCCCGTCGCACCCCTACAGCCCTGTCGCGCCCCTACGGCCCCGTCGCATCCCTAGCCGGCCCCGTCGCGCCCCTACCGGCCCCTCGTGCCCCTCGCCGGTCCCTCGCGCCCCTACCGGCCCCTACAGACCCTCGTGCTCCTACCGGCCCCACGCGCCCTTGCCGGCCCCGCTCGCCCTAGCCGGCTCCCCTTGCACCCGAGCCGGCCTCGTCGCCTACGCCGCCGAGCCGCCGTGTCCCCGAGCCGCCGAGAACCCGCGCCGCCGAGCTGCCTAGCCGCCGAGCCGCCGAGCAGCCTTGCCGCCGTGCCGCCGAGCCGTCGTGTCGCAGTGCCGCTGCGTCGCTGAGCCGCTGTGTCGCTGTCACCCTGTGCGATGGCAGACGCCGTTCTTCGCCTGGACGCTGAGGGGCACGCGATCGACTTCGCCGCCTGGCTCGTCGACCTCCGCCGGCACCTGACAAGTCAGCGCCAGGATGCGCATTCCCTGGCAATGCATGTTCATGGCTTGCTCCCCTGCCCCCTTGCGCCTGATCCCCTCCCTGCTAACCCTACCACTGCTGTGAGCGAGGCCTTTGCTGCTGCTGCGCTCGCTCACTCTGCCTGGTATTCTTGCGATGCGGTAGCTCAGCTTGTCATTAGCCATGCCCTCCCCCTGTCTGAGCGTCCGCGCTTCACCACTGTTGCGAACGCCAAGGACTTTCTTGCTGCAGTAGTTGAGCGTTACTCCAATCCTGCTTGGAGTGTTTTCGGATCGTATTACTCTGTGTTCTCTAGCTTAGACATAGCACCTGTGTGCAATTCAGACTCCCCTGCTGCGTCGGGCGTAGGACAGTTTGCTTGTCTAGCCTAGGCTCTACCCTTGCTCCTCCGTCGTCGGCCACTACGCCGTCGCTGTCCTTCACTCTAGACTCCGGTGCGTCAGCCTGTTTCTTCCGCGACCATGCCACCCTCACGCCGTTTGCTGCACCTGCCGCTGTCACCCTTGCGGACCCCTCCTCTGGTCCTGTACTTGCTCGCAGCTACACTGCCCTTCCCTGTCCGGCGGTTCCCTCGGGTTCCCTTACAGGCCTGCACATCCCTTCGTTCTCCAGGAACTTAGTTGGTGTCGGCTGTCTTCAGGACCTCAACGTCACCACTACGTTCCCTAGTCACGAGCCGTACGCGGTCTAAACCGAGACCGCCTTAGATGCCCCTCTTGCGACGTTCCCCCGGGACCCTGTGTCTGGCCTATTTACACTGGACACTGCTCCGCCCCCGGCGGGCGAGTCCTCCTCCGGTCCTCCGTTCACCCAGGTAGCTGCGGCCTGCTCGTGTCGGTCGCTCACTCACCCGTCCCTGTTGTGGCACCACCATCTAGGTCACCCCGCGCTCCCCCGCCTGCGTCACATCTCTCAGCACGGTCTAGTCCTCGGCCTCCCTGCATCGCTCCTTGCTCTCCCTCCCTCGCCTGCGCCGCTATGCATGCCCTGCGTCGAGGGCCGGCTGTGCCGTGCTCCTCACTCCTCCGCACTTCGCCCTCCCACTGCACCCCTTCAGACCCTGCACTTGAACGTCTGGGGCCCAGCCCCTGTCCCTGGACCGCGTCGTGAGCGCTACTTTCTTGTGCTCGTTGACGACTTCACGCGCTACACCACGATGTTTCCCCTGGAGCAAAAGGCCGACGTGCCTGACGTTCTTATCCCGTGGCTCATCGTTGCGGCAGGATTACGCTAGACATAGCGCGCCAGTACATCCCGAGCCTGGTCAGTGATATAATGAGATGCGAGCTGACCGTGAAGCTTGGCGACAAGAGCTCGAGCGAGTAACTCGACTCGCCAGCGCGCAACACGAAATGACAACGGCGACGACGCAGCTGTCGCAGCAATTTCTCGAGGCTCCGAAACCGCGCCCACCTGAGCCGTTCGATCCGAGCGATCGAAATTCCGACGTCCGTAGATGGATTGCCGGCATGGAGATCTACTTCGCAGCGGTCGGATGGAGCTCGCCAGTCTGGGATGGACAACGCGTACGACTCGCGGCGACACTGATGCGAGGGCCGGCACTCGAGTGGATCGGCGGTAACAGCACCTTCATCCACGGCGAAGCCACGTGGCAGCGACCTGCTGAAACGTTTCGAGCCGATAAATTCGGGTTTCCTTGCCCGGAAAAAAAATTCATCGGCATCGACAGTTCGGGAGTGTAGCACAGTACACGCAGCAGATGGAAGAATTTTATAACCGCATTCCCGACCTGACCGAAGGTGAAAATGTATACTCGTACCTCGCCGGGCTGAAGAGCGAAGTCAAACGACAAGTGGCAACGACGAACTACGCGAGCTACAGTGACGTCGTATCGGCCGCGGAACGCTTCGACATGGTCAACGCCAGGATAGGACGGGCGCACGTCGGCAGTACGCGGCAGGGTGACCGCTCAGCTCACCCCACCTTCGCCGACGACAGGTTCGAAGGGCGGCCACGTCCGAAAAACACCAACTTCACGTGTGATTTTTGCGGGGTGCCGGGTCATCGAATCTTCGACTGCAACAAAATGAAAGCCGCACACGCTGAGTATCGGGCACGCAACAGTAGCGGAAATCCTTCGGCCAATCAGAAGCCAAAAAACGGGACTCGCCAGTAATTGCAGATCTAGCTGACGAAAAAAAAATTTTCGAAAGCGGCCGCGGACTTCCGGAAAAATCAACTTCGACGCAGCTGATTCGACGCGAATAGGAGAAAATGATGGGGAAAAATCTCCACCCCACGACCAGTCTTCGCCAGAGGAAATCGCCGAGGAAAAGTCTAGCTCCGCGAAAAAAGACTCTGCCGAGACGTGGAAACTCCTTGAAGACCCAAGAAATTACGAGGATTCGTTAAAGTTATCTTATGAAGATGCTTTAATAAAAACGTGTAATTCTCGAGGGGCTAGAGCCTTGGAGAAATTTCGGGAGGGACTCCAAAAGAAGCAGAAAATTGTTGAGATCGTACCAGTACCGGAGAACTTGGGGACCAAATTAAAGAGTGTGGAAAGAAGCCGACCTTCCCAAGGAGTCAACGTCCTCTCCCAACACCAGCCCACAACGACTACCCGTTCCCCAGGGAAGACGTCGGTGGAGCTGAAGCAACTCAAAAGGAAGCTGGGGGTCTACAGGAAGCTGCAAAAACCCCGAACTCCTTCTTTGGATGCATCCAACTTGGCAACTTCGCCAACGACACGAACAGTCGTCACGGAAACTCTGGGCCCTGGAGAAGAGCCTTTCTCCAAGCAGCCTCGGCCAGCTGCCAGCTCAGGAGTAGGAAGCAACGAATATTGGGATGTACCCTATGACCCAATCAATGAAACTATCTTTGGGTACTCCGAGCAACGCCTGCCCCTCGTGCTCGAGGTCATCTGCAGAGGACGACGCCTCCAAGCACTCGTGGACAGCGAAGCATCGCACACCGTATGCGACAAGGCAACCATCGACCGACTTCGAGAAGAGTACAAGCCATCAGCGTTTTCTGTAACGATGGTGGACGGCAGCAAGTTACCAGTGTACGGCGAAGCAGTGCTACACCTACAAATCGGTCCACTGCGCTGGAAATCTGCTCTCCCCATCAGCAACATAAAAGGGCTTGACTAGATCTTCAGGCGAGACTTCCTAAAACGATTCAACCCCGAGATCAACTGGGTAAACCGCACCGCAAGCATCTACAACACAAGAAGGAGGGTCCAGCTACCCAACTAGGACGATCCAGGAGATATCCCAGTGGAGACACTCGCCATATTCGAGAAGGACGTGAAATGAACCAATACCGGGTTCCTGCGTTAGCAACAGACGTGGAATGGGACGAGGAGAAGACCTCGGAACCTCCAAGAGAAATCAAGGAAATACTGAAGGAGTTCCAAGACATTCTTCGCGACGACCTCCCGGACGAGCTACCGCCATACCGAACGCACCAACACGAGATCGTGGAGGAACCAGGTTCGAAACCGACCTTCCGAGCACCATATCAGCTAAGCCCCACAGAACTAGCCGACATGAAGAAACAAATCGAGTATCTCCTCGCCAAGAGACTCATACGACCATCCACTTCGCCATACGGTGCCCCAGTACTCTTCACACCGAAACCGGACGGAAGCATGCGCATGTGCATCGACTACCGAGCTCTCAACAAGCAGACCATCAAGAACAAATACCCGATTCCACAAATCGATGACCTGCTTGACCAGCTTCGGGGAGCCACGGTATTTTCAAAACTAGATCTGCGGTCCGGATACTAGCAGATAAGAATGGCAGACGATTCCGTTTACAAAACTGCCTTCCGAACTCGGTACGGATCGTACGAGTATCTGGTAATGCCGTTCGGACTCACCAATGCACTTGCAACGTTCCAAGCAGAGATGAATCACATCCTACACCCACTCTTAGACGAATGCGTGGTGGTGTACCTGGACGAGATCCTCGTCTACTCGCGCGACATGTGTCACAGGATCGAATGTGTCGAGGAAATGTTTTACTATCGATTAGTACAAGGCGCTTTTATACTTCCAGAGTACATCAGGTAACCAGGTTTATCCTATCCAAAGGAATAGACCCTTCTAGAATATAGAATCACCCTGTGCATAGCCACGCGAGGCCATTGGCTTTAAGGGATTACGGGAGGATTACGCTAGATATAGCGCACCAATACATCCCAGGCCTGGTCGGTGATATACTTATAATAGCAGGATAAACCAAAGGTTAATGGGAAAGGAAGAATAGGAACCCAAATGAGATGCGGTAAAAAGAGAAATGAAAAGGGAAGGAAATAAGAAAAGACCAAGTGGTGTAACGGGGTCGTACTCTCACAACATGCAACAACACGTCGAGCACCTACGAAGCGTCTTCAAAATTCTTCAACGAGAACGCTTCTACGTCAAACTTTCCAAGAGCGACTTCGCCCTCGAGAAAGTCCAATTCCTCGGACTTATCGTAAGCGCTCAAGGAGTTCACGTCGACCCCAAGAAAATCGAAGCCGTGCGTACGTGGAAGACACCCGAGAACGTGAAGGAGTTACAGCAGTTCCTTGCCTTTGCTAACTACTACAACAGGTTCGTGCCGCAATACGCGAAGATCGCCGCGCCACTCACGAATCTGCCAAAAAAGAACATGCCCTAACAACTCCAGGAAGCCATAGAGCAGCTGAAACAAGCACTCACGTCCGCACCCGTACTCATCTTGCCAGACCCCGAACTCGACTACATCATCGAAGCTGATGCCAGCGACCAGGCAGTGGGAGCAGTCTTGATGCAAGACTAGGGAAATGGCATGCAACCAATTGCCTACCTCAGCAAAACATTACACGGGGCAGAACTCAACTACCCGATACACGACAAGGAGGCCCTTGCTATCATCATCGCCTTCAAAACGTGGAGATGTTATCTCGAAGGATGCAAGACGACAGTCTACACCGACCATTGCAGCCTAAAATATTTGAAGACGCAACCAAGCCTCTCCAGGTGGCAGGTCCGGTGGATTAACTTCCTCAAGACACACTTCCACTACGACATCGTGTACAAGCCCGGCCACAAAAACAAAGCGGATGCGCTTAGTCGGCCTGCACAAGTTGCCGCGATCCAGGTTGAAGGGATGAATCCACTCCTCAAGGGACTCTTCACACACGGGTACACCATCGACCCCGAAATTCCCTTGGCAGAAAAGTGACATCTGCTACAGTGGGACAACGACATCGTGTACCGGAAAGGATCAATGAAGATCTGGGTACCTAGTTACCCTCCATTGCGCCAGTTACTACACTCAAAGAATACCACAACGTCCTGTACGCGGGACACTTTGGTAGCAACAAGACGCTCACCGGTATCGCCAAACACTAATATTGGCCCCACATTGCAGATGACATACAGAAATTCGTCACCTCGTACACTACCTGTCAGTGGATGAAGAGCAGCAAGAAGAAAAAGGCGGGTCTGTTGTAGCCTCTTCCTGTCCCAGAACAGCCATGGCAAGTGGTAAGCCTAGACTTCATCACTGGGCTACCAACTACCACAAGCGCTCATGACGCTATCCTCGCCGTCATTGTCAAGTTCTCCAAAATGGGACACTTCATCCCGACACACACCACAGCACGCACCGAGGAGACAGCACAACTTCGCTACATCATCTCACAACATGGCATTCCGACCACACTCATCTCCGACCGAGACCCTAAGCTCACCAGTAAATTATGGAAAGAGTTGATGTCTCTGCTCGGGACCAAACTCGCCATGTCATCCGCCTACCATCCACACACAGATGGACAGACCGAGCGCCTCAACCAAATTGTGGAGCAACTCCTCCTCGCAGCCTGCAAGGACGACATCTCCAAATGGGACTTGCATCTGCCCGTCCTGGAGTTTGCCTACAACAATGCTACTCACGCCGCTACTGGACAGACGCCGTTCTTCCTTTGTTAGAGACGCCACCCACTCACACCTCAACAGCCAAACATACCAGGCACAGTCCAACCCGCTCATGATTTCATCACGACCATGCACAAACTTTGGGATCGGACCCACAAGCGCCTTCTCGACATTCAACAACAACAGAAGCGCCAGACCGATCGCCACCGCACAGACCACACCATCACCGTGGGAGAACGAGTACTGCTCGACACCCGCAATCTTGACATCAGCCATCTCCCATCAGCCATCTCCCATCAGCCATCAGCAAATTGGAAGATTCACAATGCCTTCCATGTCCAACTCTTGAAGCTCTACCGAGATCCCAACACGGTCTTCTCTAGACGCCAACCGCCGCCACCGCCGCCCGTCCTCGTCCATGATGAACCCGAGTACGAGGTCGAGACCGTGCTTGCTCACCGCCATCGACGGCATGGCAACGTGGAGCTTCTCATCCGTTGGAAGGGTTATGATCCTTCAGAGGATAGCTGGGTCTCTGAATCCGAGATGGATCACGCTCGTCGCCCTCTTCGCGACTACCTTGTCAAGCAGGGTGTCACGTCACCACCCAGCTTTGAGGGGGGGAAGTGAAAGAGTACGACTCCGTTCCATTTCTTTCTCCTTTCCATCTCCCCTTTCCATTTCATTCCTCTTTTAATCATGATTCATTTGGTCTTTATCTCATGCCATTTTGATTCCTATTCCTTCTTTTCCAGAACCCTTTTGGGTTATCCTGCTATTGTCATTATATCACCGACCAGGCTCGGGATGTACTGGCGCGCTATATCTAGCGTAATCCTGCCGTAATCCCTTAAAGAAAATAGACTCGCGTGGCTATACGAAGGGTGATTCTATTTTCTAGAAGGGTCTATTCCATTGGGATAAGATAGACCTGGTTACCTGATGTACTTTGGAAGTATAAAAGCGCCTTGTATCAATCGATAATGCAACCTTTCCTCGACACATTTGATCTTGTATCAGGCAGACACCGACCACAGCACTGGTCAGCCACTAAGAGGGTTTTGCGTTATCTCGCAAGTACATCGGGCATGCGGCTAGTGCTAGGAGGGCACAGGCCAGTGGTCCTTCCTGGTCAGACGACGCTGAGACCCTTCGATCCTCCCAGGGCTACTACTTCAGCCTTGGTTGTGGTGCCATCTCATGGAGGTCCACTCGCTCCTCGTCTGTTGCTCAGTCTAGCTGAGAGGCTGAGATCTACGCTGGTGCCATGGTGGAACAGGAGCTCCGCTGGCAGATCTTCTTGCTTGCCGACTTAGGTGAGAGGCCTAGCTCTGCCCTGGTTTTGTACGCTGACAACAAGGCCATGATCCTCCTGTGTCATGAGCCTCGACTTGAGGGCAGAGCAAAGCACATCTAGCTGCGGTACTTCCTCCTGCGTGAGCTTCAGCAGCGTCGCCAGACCCGCAGAGTACACTTGGCCTCGGGTGCCAACACAGCTGATATCTTTGCTAAGGCGCTTCCGCCTAGAGATCATTAGCCGTGCTGTACACTGCAAGCAGTGCCGCTAATGATCTCTAGGCAGAAGCGCCTTAGCAAAGATATCAGTTGTGTTGGCACCAGAGGCCAAGTGTACTGCGCGGGCCTGGCGACGCTGCTGTAGATCGCCCAAGAGGAAGTACCGCAACTGGATGTGCTTCACTCTACCCTCAAGTCATGCCTCCTTACACAGGGGGATCATGGCCCTGTTGTCAGTGTACAAAACCGGGGCAGAGCTAGGCCGCTCACCTAAGTCGGCAAGCAACAAGGCCAGCCAGCAGAGCTCTTGTGCCGCCATGGCACCGGCGTAAATCTCAGCCTCGCAGCTAGACAGAGCAACAGATGAGGAGTGAGTGGACCTCCACGAGATGGCACCAGAACCAAGGCTAAAGCAGTAGCCCTGGGAGGACCGGAGTGTCTCAGCTTCGTCGGCCCAAAAAGCGTTTGTGTGCCCAGTAAGGATCACTGGCCTGTGTCCTCCCAGCACTAGCCCCATGCCCGATGTAGTTGCAAAATAACGCAAAACCCTCTTTGCGACCGACCTAGGCTGTGGTCAGTGTCTGCCTGTGGCCACAAAGCGGGCTAGGATGCTGAGAGGGTGTGCGAGATCTGGGAGAGTGCAAGTCATCAGTTACATGAGGCAACCCACCAGCTCTGCGTAAGGACCACTGGGCTCTGCTGACTCCTCGGGAACTGGAGCTAAGAGCCTATGGTCTACCGGCAGAGGTGTGGGCTGTGTGGAGGAGAACTGAAGACCGAACCTCTGAAGGACCTGGTGCACCAAGTGTGACTGTGTAAGAGTGATGGTGCACGCTGCTCTGTCCCTGGAGATCTGCAGGCGAAGGTAGCAGCGCAGCTCTCCCAGGTCAGTGCAGGTGTGTCGCCTCAGCAGCTCAGCCTTCACGGAGGCCAGCGCGTCTCTATCTGCTATAGCAAAGACCAGGTCGTCTACGTAGACCAGGATGTAGAACGGAGTCTGGCCAGCACGAACGAAGAGCGAAGGGTCAGCAGTGGACAGGCAGGGTCAGAGACCAGAGCGGTAGCGTAGTCAAGGTGGCAAGTAGAGGCAAAGGCAACGACAGCAGCGACAAGAGCGTCAAGACTGGAGACAGGAACAGACGGGTCAGTAACGAGGGAGGCAAGGACTCAAGGAACAAGAGGACGAGCAGCACGAGGGTATTCAGACAAAAGGGGAGGCGCGACAGTGAGCGACGACGGAGGAGGCAAAGGCAAACGGGGAGGACGAGACGCATGGGAATGAAGCAACATAGGGTGAGAACGCTGAACAAGAGAGACAGGACGAGCACGAGAGGGACGGCGAGACCAGACGTGAGACGAAGGCGTCGGGTGAGAAGACAGAGGAGGAGTAACAGGAGGGGAACGAGAGGGAAAACGAGCCGGGGACGAGTCCAGCGGAGGAAACACAGGATCGTGAACAGGAAGAGGGGGAGACGACGAGGGAGGCGCAGACGAGCGGTCAAGGGAGGGAAGGCCGAGCAGGCGAAGGGTGGACACCAGCGCCGTCTGCTGCTGCTGCTGATCAACGCCGACACCTTGACCACCAGCTGCACCACTGCTACCTCCCGTACACTCCACACCAGCACCCCCAGAATGAGAAACGTCTTCAGCGCCGGTGCCACCCCCAAGCCCGCCGGGACAAGCCACGACAGGAGCCCCAGAACTAGCACCCTCTCCAACTCCAGCACCCCCAGAGTCCACGAACGGCTGCGGCTGCGACGACGGCTATGGCTGCGGCGGCGGCTACGCCTGCGGCGATGGTTGCAGCTGCGGTGGCGACTGCGACGAGGGAGGAGGAGACATCGGGGGAGGGACAGGCGGTGCAAACTGCGCCGCGTGGCCACTGGAGTCAGCCAACTCCTCGACCAAGACAACCGACGGGAGGGAAGTGACGTGAGACACAGACGGAGCAGGACGGGGAGGGAGGGGAGCAGGGGCGATCGGGGGACTGGGAACCAAAAACAGGGGGGGGGGAACCGGGACACCTCGGCGAGGAAAACGGTGGAAAAAGGAGATAGACTCGTCGAAAGTGACGTTACAGGAGTGAAGGAAGCGGTGAGACGGCGGGTGGTAGAAGTGCCAGTCAGACGAGTCAAGGGGGAAACCGAGGAAGACACAGGAGACGGTGCGGGCAGTGAGCTTGTCCGTGCCGGAGGCACGAACGTGAGCGAGGCATCCCCAGACGTGGAATGCTGACGCGTGACTTGGGAACCTGGTCCAAAGAAGGGTCGGCGAAACCTGCGGCCGCTGAGAGCGAGGCCAAAGGTTAAGCTGGTGAGCGGCGTAGCGAACGGCGAACGGCCACAGAAAATGGGGTGCACTGGCATGGATCATAGGGGTACGAGCCACCTCCATGACAAACCCGATGCGTCGCTTAGCGACCCCATTCTGCTGCGGGGAGTCCAGTAGGGTGTACGTCTGGGTGATACCCTCCGCACGAGAGAACTGACCCAGCCGACCAGAGGCGAACTCGCCGCCATGGTCGGAGTGGAGACACAGCACAGGGAGACAGCAGTGGAGGCGCGCAACAACGAGCCACTGGATAAGAACGTCAGGCACGTCGGCCTTCCGCTCCAGGGGAAACACCGTGGTGTAGCGCGTGAAGTCGTCAACGAGCACCAAAAAGTAGCGCTCGCGACGCGGTCCAGGGACAGGGGCTGGGCCCCAGATGTCCAAGTGCAGGGTCTGAAGGGGTGCACTGGGAGGGCGAAGTGAGGAGGAGTGAGGAGCATGGCACAGTCGGCCCTCGACGCAGGGCGTGCACAGCGGCGCAGGCGAGGGAGAGAGAGCAGGGAGCGATGCAGGGAGGCCGAGGACTAGACCATGCTGAGACATGTGATGCAGGCGGGGGAGCGCGGGGTGACCTGGGCGGTGGTGCCACAACAGGAACGGGTGAGTGAGCGACCGACACGAGCAGGCCACAGCTATCTGGGTGGACACAGAACCGAAGGAGGACTCGCCCACCGGGGGGGAACAGTGTCCAGCGTAAACAGGCCAGACACAGGGTCCCGGGGGAACGTCGCAAGGAGGGCACCTGAGGCGGCCTCGGAACAGACCGCGTACCGCTCGTGACCAGTGAACGTAGTGGTGACTCCGAGGTCGTGAAGACAGCCGGCACCAACTAAGTTCCTGGAGAACAAAGGGATGTGCAGGCCTGTAAGGGAACCCGAGGGAACCGCCGGACAGGGAAGGGCAGTGTAGCTGCGAGAAAGTACATGACCAGAGGAGGGGTCCGCAAGGGTGACACCGGCAGACGCAGCAAGCGGCGTGAGGGCGGCGTGGTCGCGGAAGAAACAGGTTGACGCACCGGAGTCTAGAGTGAAGGACAGCGACGCCGTAGTGGCCGACGACGGAGGAGCAAGGGTAGAGCCTAGGCTAGACAAAGCAAGCTGTCCTATGCCTGACGCAGCAGGGGAGTCTGGACTACACACAGGTGCTACGCCTAAGGTAGAGAACACAGAGTAAGATGATCCGAAAACACTCGAAGCGTCAGCATACAAAGAATGCAAGGCAGAACTAGTCC